AATGCGGCTGGAGTGCTGTGGCGTGATCTTGGCTCACTGCAATCTCCACCTCCTGGGTTCAAGCGATTCTCCTGCCTAGGCCTCCCAAGTAGCTGGGACCACAGGCACGTGCCACCATGCCCAGCTAATTTTTTTGTATTTTTAGTAGAGCCCAGATTGGTCAGGCTGGTCTTGAACTCCTGACCTCGTGATCCGCCCACCTCGGCCTCCCAAAGTGCTAGGATTACAGGCTTGAGCCACCGTGCCCGGCCGATGAAGGAATTATTAAAAGAGAAGGGTATCTGCCAGAAACCATTTGGTACTGGGAAATCCTCCATAAATATTAGAGCAGAATGTAAGCTCCTCCATAGACACCATCCTTTTCAATCCTTTTCAATCTCTTTCATCACTGGATTTTCAGGAGCTGGAACAGTGCCTGTTGGAACATAGATGTTTGATAACTATTTGTAGAACAAATGAATTATTTTAATGATATTTCTTAAAGTTATAAAGATAGTTTGCTCTAGTGGGAAGTCCCTGGCTTGAGCCCTGAGAAAGATGTAGTCCAAGTGTCCTTCATAGATGATGTAGCCAACCCACTCCCGCCAGTGGAGGGGACCCTCGGGGAGGCTGCCTTGCCCTGCAGGTGGGCTGACCCATCTCTCTCCAGGGGCCACAGGCGAGCACCCCATTGGGTGTTGGGAATATCTCTCCACATTCCTCACATGTCTGGCATACTTTAGCCATTTGTTTTTGATCTGACTAAATAGCAAGTCAGCAGCCTTGGTCTGTTTTCAGGAATCCAACATAAATATTATTATTTATTCCATTTACAATTGGCAATTAAGTTTGTTTTCAGGCACCAGAATGGAATTTAAAACACTCAGTTAAGTAAACCAGACTAATCAGAGGCAGCCTGCTTTTGTCTTGGAAACATTCTTTACAAAAACAACAAAAGAAGCCTGCACTGTTAACAGAGAAAGGCCTGGAACACTCTCTGCTTCTCCTGATTCCCCCTTAAACTCACCTCACACTCACGAGTGAAGTGTGTATGTTGAAAACAACCACAGAAGGCCAGAAATGGTGGCTCACACCTGTAATCCCAGCACTTTGGGAGGCCGAGGTGGGTGGATCTCCTGAGGTCAGGAGTTCAAGACTGGCCTGGCCAACACGGTGAAACCCCATCTCTACTAAAAATACAAAAACTAGCTGGGCATGGTGGTAGCCACCTGTAATCCCAGCTACTCGGGAGGCTCAGGCAGGAGAATCACTTGAACCCAGGAGGCAGAGGATGCAGTGAGCCGAGATCGTGCCATTGCACTCCAGCCTGGGCGACAGAGCAAGACTCCGTCTCAAAAAAAAAAAAATAATAATAATAAATAAAAAATAATAATAATAGAAAAGGACCCTAGAGACCTGGCTTCTATTCTCTTTCTCTTTCTCTTTCTCTCTCTCTCTCTCTCCTTTTTTCTTCGAGACAGGGTCTTTTTCTGTCATTCAGGCTGGAGTGCAGTGGCCTGACCATGGCTCACTGCAACCAACCTCCACCTTCTGGGCTCAAGGATCCTCCTGCATCAGCCTCCCTGGTAGCTGGGACTCCAAGTATGTACCACCATGCCTGGCTAATTGTTTTTAATAGAGACAGGGTCTCACTATGTTGCCCAGGCTGGTCTCAAATCCTGGGCTCTAGCAGTCTTCCTGCCTTGGCCTCCCAAAGTGCTTGCATTACAGCCGGTTGTGAGCCACCATGCCCAGCCTTGTCTCATGTGTAAGTCAAACTGTAACTTGGGCCTGAGTTCTTCATTTGTTGAAATAAGGAACAAGATAGTCTTGGATGACACCATCCATTTGTCAAAGGCTATGGTTATACTTCTTGGGCCAGGCAGACTAGCTCTCAGGTGATAACTTGAAAGAGAGAAAGCTGTAAAAAGGGCTGGAAGGAGAAAGAGAGAAGATAAGTAGTGTGTTGCTTGGAAACAGTGATTTTTTTTTTTTTTTTTTTTTGAGGCAGAATTTTGCTTTTGTTGCCTAGGCTGGAGTGCAATGGCCTGATCTTGGCTCACTGCAACCTCCGCCTCTCAGGTTCAAGAGATTCTCCTTGGCATGAACCCGGGAGGCGGAGCTTGCAGTGAGTGGAGATCGCGCCACTGCACTCCAGCCTGGGCGACAGAGCGAGACTCCGTCTCTGCACTCCAGCCTGGGCGACTGACAGACTCCGTCAAAAAAAAAAAAAAAAAAAAGAGTTCTCCTGCCCCAGCCTCCCGTAGCTGGGATTACAGGTATCCGCCACTCATGTCCAGCTAATTTTTTGTATTTTTAGTAGAGACGGGGTTTTGCCCATGTTGGCCAGGCTGGTCTCGAACTCCTGACCTCAGGTGATCCACCCACCTCGGCCTCCCAAAGTGCTGGGATTACAGGCATGAGCCACCGTGCCTGGCCAGAAACAGTGATGATTCTTGATTCTCCTGACTTGCTGGGCACCCTTGGGCAAACCCCCTGTTCCTTTTCAAACCCCAGTCTCCCCATTTGGTTTTTTTTTTTTTTTTTTGAGACATAGCCTTGCTCTGTCACCCAGGCTGGAGTGCAGTGGCATGATCTCAGCTCACTCACAAGCCCACCTCCCAGGTTTTTACGCCATTCTCCTGCCTCAGCCTCCCGAGTAGCTGGGACTACAGGCGCCCGCCATGTCGCCCGGCTAGTTTTTTGTATTTTTTAGTAGAGACAGGGTTTCACCGTGTTAGCTAGGATGGTCTCGATCTCCTGACCTCGTGATCCACCCGTCTCGGCCTCCCAAAGTGCTGGGATTACAGGCTTGAGCCACCGCGCCCGGCCAGTCTCCCCATTTGTAAAGAGGTTTAAGATAGAATCAGGAGGCCGGGCACGGTGGCTCACGCCTGTAATCCCAGCACTTTGGAAGGCCGAGTAGGCGGATCACCAGGTCAGGAGTTTGAGACCATCCTGGCCAATATGGTGAAACCCCATCTTTACTAAAAATACAAAAATTAGCCGGGCGTGGTGGCATGTACCTGTAGTTCCAGCTACTCCGGAGGCTGAGGCAGGAGAATCGCTTGAACCTGGGAGGCGGAGGTTGCAGTGAGCTGAGATCACACCACTGCACTTCAGCCTGAGCAACAGAGCGAGACTGCGTCTCAAAAAAAAAAAAAAAAAAAAAAAAAAAAAAATCAGGATACAGGAGTGACATAATCCAGATTGCTAGGGGGTGCTGTCAGGCTGAGTTTGTGATTTTTAGCTTCGAACATGAACACCTTCAGGCAGAACATCCATTCTCCAACTCCCCACGAATCCCCCCAAGCCCCGCCAAGCCCCATGACTTCCTGTTACCTCCTAGGCCTTGAAGGCCACTGAATTTCTGGTGTCTAAGAATTCCCTTCCAGTTCCGAAAATCCCAAGACCCATCAGCTTAGATGTTCCCCTGACCACCTTCCTCTTCCCTTTGGGAGGTCTCTGTGTGCAGGCCAAGGAAAGTCTCAAGAAGTAAACTTAGAAAAGGGAGCCTGCAGATCACCCCAAGGAAAATCCAGACTGATTTGATCAGTCCTAGCTGGAAGCAGCACAGGAATAGCATGAGGCCTATGACTCATTTTAAGCAAACATCTGGTAATCCGACTGGTATCTGGTTCAAATGGGTAAACCTCAAGCACCTATGACAGGCCAGGCCCAGAGAAGATGCTGCCCAGATGGATACAGCGCCTCCTCCCGAGACCCTCCCAGGCTGAGGAGGAAACGCCAAGAACAGTGTTAACTCTGTCCAAGAGCCCCAGAGCCCCAGGCCAGTTGCTGTGGGGCTTTGCATCTTGCTGTGGGCACCTGCCAGAGGGAAAGATTCATGAAGTAGCATTTGACATGGGCCTTGTAGAAGAGGGAAGGTGGAAAGAGGATCCACATCTCAGGAACTTTGAGAACTGGGAGAGTTACACTCTGTCTAGAGCTTCAGTTTTCTCATCTCTGTGCTAGGAAGGGTGGTAATGATGCCCACTTCCCTTTTGGTGGTGAAGATTAAATGAGCTGTGTGTAAAAAGATATGGCATGATCTGTTTATTCATTTATTTATTTTGAGACGGAGTCTTGCTCTGTTGCCCAGGCTGGATTGCAATGGCACGATCTTGGCTCACTGCAACCTCTGCCTCCCGGGTTCAAGCGATTCTCCTGCCTCAGCCTCCTGAGTAGCTGGGATTCCAGGCATGTGTCACCATGCCCAGCTAATTTTGTATTTTTAGTAGAGGCGGGTTTCTCCATGTCAGTCAGGATGGTCTCAAACTCCTGACCTCAGGTTATCCGCCCGCCTCTGCCTCCCAAAGTGCTGGGATTACAGGCATGAGCCACCGCGCCCAGCCTGCATGATCTGTTTAACTTTTTTTTTTTTTTTTTTAAGTTTTTGAGACAAGGTCTTGCTTTGTCACCAGGGCTGAAATGCAGTGGTGCGATCATGGCTCACTGCAGCCTCAAGCTCCCAGGCTCGAGATCCTCCTGCCTCAGTCCCTTAGCTGAGACTACAGGCATGCACCATCACGTCCAACTCATTTTTGTATTTTTTGTCAAGACAGGGTTTGACCATGTTGCCCAGGCTGGTCTCGAATTCTCTCGCCTATAATCCCAACACTTTGGGAGGCCGAGATGGGCAACAAGAGTGAAACTCCATCTCAAAAAAAAAAAAACAAAAAAACGCTGTTTGTGTTTTTATGCTTAAATTCACACCTGCAGAAAAGTTGCAAAAAGGTTCAAATAACTCCCATATCCTTCAACTAGATTAACTAACATTTTGCCACATTTGTGTCTCTGCTTTCTCTATGTATATGTGTATTTCTTAACCATAAACGTTGCTGACATCATGTCCTTTTTGTCCCTAATTATTTCATCACTTTTTCCCCAAGAACAAGGGCAGTCTCTTACATAACCCTGTACCATAATCAAAATTAATAAATTTGACATTGATACAATACTGTTATCTAATATACAGTCAAATTTTGCTGTTTCAGTATTGTCCTTTATAGCAATCCCCACCCAGGATCCTATCCAGGACCATGTATTGCATTCAGTTGTCTTTTTCGTTTCCTGTAATCGGCAACAGTTTCTTAGTTTTTCTTTGTCTAACATAATACAAACATTTCGGGAAGGGTACAGATCCGTTATTCTGTACCATGTCCCTCAGCTTGGGTTTCTAGTGATTAGGCTAAGGTTGTAGACCGGACGGTGACGCCGTGTTTTTCTCAGTGCATCACACAGAAAGCGTGCGATGAATGTCAGCTTGTCCTGCTGTTGATGTTAACGTGGCCGTTCAAGCGGTGTCTGCAGTTTCTCTACGATAGTTACTATTTCCCCTTTTTAATTATCAGGTAATTTGTGCATATTTATGTGGAAGGCTTCGAATGCCCTTTCAGTTTCATGGGACGGAAAAGAGCACTTTATATGGGCAAATGGATACCTGTGTCTTGCGGAAGACACCCAGCAGCCAGCAGTACCTGTGTCAACAAAGTTACGCGAACAAAACCTTTCCGGAAGAGCTGAGGGACCTGGGTGCAACGCATTCTGGGAATTGTAGTCTCTGGGTGCTCCCGGCTGAACACCGCCCTGCGGTCTCTGCGAGAAAGAGCCAGAAGCCGCCAGGGGAGGGCGAAGAGGAGGGTGGCGGGGACGCTCTGCGCGCGGTGCGCCATGGGACGGGTAGTTCACGGCGCGCGCCCCGTCGCGCCCCCAGCTAGGGAACGGGACTACTCTATCCGAGAGCCCGCGCGTGCGGGGCGAGGGCAAGCCGGCCGGGGCCTCGAACAAATCAAATCGAAGCAAAGAAACTGCCGGCTTTCAAAATCCTCCTCCTCCGCCATCATCCGCCGCGGTGCGGAGAGCAGGTGGTGCTGGAAGCGCGTGAGTCCGGGAGCGCGAGAGAGCTGACAGACAAGCCAGCTGGACATCTGGACCGCTGGACCCGGAGGTGGCGACCCCGGCCTGACCCGGACCCTAAATCCGTCCCCGCCCCACCGGGCGGAGGCGCGTGCTCGGTTACCCCCACGCGGCGGCGCCGCCTGTTTACGGTAGAGTCAGGGTCCCTTTCCTTTCACAGTCACCTGCCTGGAAGAGGGGTGGGGGCGAGGAGGGCGTGGCGCCCTGTGCACCTTTTGCCTGCCCCCTCGGCCTTCTTCACTAAGTCTTCGATGGCCGAGCGCCCCGGGGTGGCGGTGGGAGTGGGGTTGTTGGGCGGCGCTGGCTTCTTTCACAAATGGGGAAACGGAGGCTTAAAGGGCGTCTGACTCGCCGGAGCAGCTCAGCCTGCAGCTGCTAGCAGTGGCGTCTCATATTAGCATCGTTGTCAACCGGAGGCGGTGCGAGTCCGCCGGGAATTCCAGATGGGTCTCCCGCGCCGCCCGCCTGTCATTTGCGGCCTGTATTCGCGAGTCGCTCCCGCGGCGCCGCCTCCCAGCAGGCCCACGCCAACGGGGGGCCCGGGCTGGCGCCGCTGTCCCTGGAATCGATGTGAGTCACTGCTGACGCTTTGTAGGAGCTTGCATCTCACCTCAGAAAGTCTCCGACGCTGCTGCGGAGCGGGGAGAGGATGTTTCTTTATTAACCCTTTGCTTTTGCTCTAGTGCTGACCCTTTGCTGACCTTGGACAAATCAATTCACGTTTCTGTGCTCCAGTTTCTTGGTCTATAAAGTGTGTGTGGAGGAGTGCATCTCTTTGTCTGGCTCTCTCTTGGACTGAGGAATAGGCCCCTTTTCAGCTGAGAAGTTCTGTCCCTATTCTATTTGGAGGCTTCACCACCACCTTTTACCCTCAGATTGTCACATCTCAGAACTGCAAGAGATGCTGGGGTTTCAGGTTAATTTTTTGTTGGTTTTTCTTTAATTTTTTTTTTTTTAATCTTCTTAGAGACAGGATCTCCCTCTGTCACCCAGGCTGGAGTGTAGTGGAACAATCACCGCTGAACTTCCTGGCCTTGGCTTCCTGGGCTCATGCGATCCTCCCACCTCAACTTCCCAACTCATGGGGACTACAGGTGCCATCACACCTGGCTAATTTTTAAATTTTTCTTTGGGGACAGGGTCTCATTCTGTTGCCCAGACTTGTCTCGAACTCCTGGTCTAAAGTGATCTTCCTGCCTAGCCTCCCAAAGTGTTGTAATTACAGGTGTGTGCCACTGCACTGGGTTGGTTTCTCGTTAATTTTTTTTTTTTTGAAACAGGGTCTCCAGAAGTGCAGTAGCAAGCTCTCAGCGCACTGCAGCCTCCACCTCCAGGGCTCAAGTGATCCTCCCACCTTACACCCCAAGTAGCTGGGACTGCAGGCACCCGCCACCACACCGGGCTAGTTTTTGTATTTTTAGTGGAGATGTACCCAGGCTGGTTTCTAACTCCTGGGCTCAGTTGATCCGCCCACCTCAGCCTCTGGAAATGCTGGGATTACAAGAGTGAGCCATTGCATCCAACTCTGGTTAATTTTTTTTTTTTTGAGACGGAGTTTCACTCTTGTTTCCCAGGCTAGAGTGCAATGCCGCGATCTCGGCTTGCCCCAACATCTACCTCCCGGGTTCAAGTGATTCTCCTGCCTCAGCCTCCTGAGTAGCTGGGATTACAGGCATGTGCCACCACGCCCAGTTAATTTTGTATTTTTGGTGGAGACGGGGTTTCACCATGTTGGCCAGGCTGGTCTCGAACTCCCGACCTCAGGTGATCTGCCCGCCTCAGCCTCCCAAAATGCTGGGATTATAGGCGTGAGCCATCGCACCTGGCTTGGTTAATTTTTATGCAGTTTCAACTGGTCATTTCTTGAGCACCTTCTGAATGCCAGGCTCTGTGTGGCAAGTAGAGTGATCCTGTCAAAACATAGGTCAAATGACATCTGTCTCTGCTAGAAACTTCAGTGACTTTCCTTGTCACTTATAGTGAAAGCCACTGTTCTTCAAATGGCCTTTATGACTTGGGCCCCTTGTTAACTCTCTCCTCTCTTAACTCCTTTTTTTCCTGTCTCTCTGTGCTTCAGCCCCACTGGCCCTATTGCAGTTCCTCCAACCCTCTGCCCGTACAAGAGCCATTGAATTTGCTATTCCCTTTGCAGGAATCGGGTTCTCCCAGATGTGTGCATGGCCCAATCCCTGACATCTTTATTTAACTATTTCCTAATAATGCCTTTTTGTTGTTATTGTTTGTTTGTTTGTTTGTTTGTTTTGAGACAGAGTCTTGCTCGGTCGCCCAGGCTGGAGTGCAATGGCATGATCTTGGCTCACTGCAACCTCTGCCTCCCGGGTTCAAGCAATTCTCCTGCCTCAACCTCCCGAGTAGCTGGAACTACAGGCACACACCACCACGCCCAGCTAATTTTTGTATTTTTAGTAGAGACGGGGTTTCACCATGTTGGCCTGGCTGGTCTCGAACTCCTGACCTTGTGATCCACCTGCCTTGGTCTCCCAAAGTGCTGGGATTAAAGCCATGAGCCACCACTCCCACGCACCCCCCCCCTTTTTTTTAATCACATACTAGTTGTGTCATTTAGCACACATGCTTCAAGAGGTCAAGGTTTATGTTTCCTTTGCTGCTATACTCCTGTTACCTGGAACAATATCCAGCACACAGTAATACTCAAATGTTTTGTTGAATGAATGAGTAGACACCTTACCCAGAATAATAATTCATGCTTATTGATAAAGACAGACAAACCAGGGTGATAAGTTTGAACCCAGAGGAAGCCTAGGGGTGGCAGGATTCAGGGTATCACAACTGTGTCTGAGAATGAGGAGGCTGTAGGAGGAGGCCTTTTGGATAGCACCCCCTAGTTCTGCCCCTCATATCTGCTTCCTTGGTCTGTCCTGATTACTTGCTGTTTCTCCTCTTTTTTTGGAGCATCTCACAGATACATTTATTCATACCACAAAGTAAACACTATACAAGTATGTAGCGATGTTCCACGTTCCTGTCTAATATAGCTGGCTTCAATTGTCAGGCAGTACACATGGGACGTTTAATCTCACATGTACTCCAAGTAAAGCTGGAGTACCATGAGCAGGCGCAGGAGTTCTCAAAGGTTTACTTGTTGTTTTAAAAATTCTCATTTATTGGCCGGGCGCGGTGGCTCACGCCTATAATCCTAGCACTTTGGGAGGCCGAGGTGGGCAGATCATGAGGTCAGGAGATCGAGACCATCCTGGCTAACATGGTGAAACCTCATCTCTACTAAAAATACCAAAAAATTAGCTGGACATGGTAGTGGATGCCTGTAATCCCAGCTACTCAGGAGGCTGATTCAGGAGAATGGCATGAACCCGGGAGATGGAGCTTGCAGTGAGCCGAAATTGCGCCACTGTGCTCCAGCCTGGGTGGCTAAGCGAGACTCCGTCACAAAAAAAAAAAAAAAATTCTTTAATTTATTTAGTTACTTTTAGAGATAGAGTCTCCTGCTGTTGCCCAGGCTGGAGTGCAGTGGCACAGTCATAGCTTACTGTAGCTTTGAACTTCTGGGCTTAAGTGATCCTCCTGCCTCAGCCTCTCCAGTAGATGGGACTGACTACAGGCATGTGCCACCACATCCAGCTAATTTTTATTTTTATTTTATTTTTTTGAGACAGGGTTTTACTCTGTCACCCGGGCTAGAGTGCAGTGGTGAGATCATGGCTCACTGTAGCCTCTCTCCTGGGCTCAAGCAATCCTCCCACCTCAGCCTCCCCAGTAGCTGGGATTACAGGTGCACACCACCATCCCCCACTAATTTTATTTATTTATTTATTTTAGTAGAGATGGAATTTTGCCATGTTACCCAGCTTGAGCTGCTGGGCTCAAACGATCTTCCCACCACAGCTTCCCAGTGTGCTGGGATTACAGGTGTGAGCCACTGCACATGGCCAGCTTTACTTCTTTTACCAGCACTCCTGACTTTATAAACAGTGAGGCTCATCAACCCCATTTCCAACCAGATCCCCTGGTAAACTTGGGTATAGTAGGGCTTCATGGGTGGCAGCCCTGTCCCTGTCCTATTATGATGGTAGCTGTTGTGATGTGGCAATCTGTGATCTAGAAAACCCTGAGAGGCCACCGTGGCCTGCCTAGTCTCCCGGCCAGGGTTGAAACCAGACGTGCAGTGGGGCTGACCCCTGTGCCCCACCCCAGAGTCATACCAGCGTGGGTGTGGGGCATTCTCTGGGATGAATGATCTGGATCCCTTAGCCATCTGTGTCCTGTTTGAGGAATGTGACCCTCAAGCAGAGAGCAGCCAAGATGCTCATGCAGGTGTGTGCTTGGGCCAGACTCTGCAGCCTTTGGTTTGGGACTTGACTGCCATTCACTGACGGGGTCCAGGAAATGGGCAGCTCACATGGCGTTGCTGGGCATCCCAGCTTCAGCAGTTTGGCAGAGGAGGACTTGTAATGAGATGGTAGCTCCTTATAGGCTAAAACATGATTTTTCTGTTCTCTTACTACCTCCTGCACCTTCTGGAACTGTTCATTCTCTGATGGTGTTTTCCTTTCTTCCAGTGGTTTAGCTCTAGGGTCTCCATAGCAGGGGAGGTAGGGTCAGACTCCTGAGATGGAGATGATGTCCTACCCTGCCCCCCAACCACGGGCCCCAGGAGACTCCTTTTTCTTATTGCAACTTCGGCCTCTTCAGTCTGCAGATCTCCAGGGGAACCCACCAGCCTAGTCAGCATGGCCTCAGAAGACATTGCCAAGCTGGCAGAGACACTGGCCAAGACTCAGGTGGCCGGGGGACAGCTGAGTTTCAAGGGCAAGAGCCTCAAACTCAACACTGCAGAAGATGGTGAGTTTCCGGAAGTTGCGCACTGGTGTGTCCAGGGGAGGAAAGGGAGTGTACTGAACTCTTACTGGTTGTCAGGCTCTTTCTGCTACATTGTCTCCATTATTTGTCCCAGCAGCTCTGTGAGGTATCATTGGGCCCCTTCTAACAATGAGGCTCAGAGATCATTTGCCCATGTGCAAGCTCCCCTGTACTTTGCATGTTTGCAGTGGGCATCCCTTTGTGCCCTGTCCTTTCTTTCTCAGGAGGGGATAGTAGGTAATGAGGGGCCACAGTGTCAGTCCCAAGATACAGCCTCTGACTCTGACTTCACATCTGGTGTTCTCCCACCCCTGCCCTTTACTCCCATGATCTCAGGCAGGCCTGGGAATAGGTGCAGCTTTCCCCAGAGCTGAGGCTGTGTTGGAGCTGCATTAAAACAACCTGGGCCCTCTTGGGAGATGCTGGTTCATGCAGCCAGATGTACCTGGGACAGGGATGGCTGTCTGTGTGTATATAGGTACTGTAACCGCAGAAAACTAGGAACCAGAGCGCAGACCCTATCTTTTCATCCCTTGTCAAGGCTTGGCTGCCACTGACCAACCCTGAATCCCCTGGCACCAGCAAATGAAGGCACCTGTGTCAAGTGAGGCCTCCTGGGATTCTGGCCCAACCAGGGGAACTGGTTTGGACATGCCTGGTTGTCAGGTTGTGTAGGCAGCCTTGTTCCCCCCAGGTCAGAGGCTGCTTGAGTCCTTGGGTAGCTGGGAGCGTGGTGATGCATGTTCCTAACATCTCCATAAGGCCTTAACGTTTATAGACTTCCTCCCTGTGTGTTTGTCACTTTTTTTTTTTTTTTTTTTTTGAGACGGAGTTTGGCTCTGTCACCCAGTTAGAGTGCAGTGGCGCGATCTCGGCTCACTGCAAACCTCTGCCCTCCCGGGTTCAAGCGATTCTCCTGCCTCAGTCTGCTGAGTAGCTGGGATTACAGGCATGTGCCACCATACCTGGTTAATTTTTGTATTTTTAGTAGAGACAGGTTTTTGCCATATTGGTCAGGATGCTCTTGAACTCCTGACCTCAGGTGATCTGCCTGCCTTGGCCTCCCAAAGTGTTAGGATTGCAGGTGTGAGCCACTGTGCCCGGCTTTTTTTTCTTTTTTTAGATGAGTCTCACTCTGTCACCCAGGCTGGAGTGTAGTGGTACGCTCTTGGCTCATTGCAACCTCTGTCTCCCAGGTTCAAGCGATTCTCCTGCCTCAGCCTCCCAAGTAGCTGGGACTACAGGCTCACACCATCACGCCTGGCTAATTTTTTTTTTTTTTTGAGACATAGTCTTGCTCTGTTGCCCAGGCTGGAGTGCAGTGGTGCAATCTGAGCTCTCTTTAACCTCTGCTTCTTGGGTTCAAGCAATTCTCATGCCTCAGCCTCCCGGGCGGGTAGCTGGGACTACAGGTGTGTACCACCATGTCCAGCTAATTTTCTTTTTTTGTGTTTTAGTAGAGATGGGGTTTTACCATGTTGGACAGGCTGGTCTTGAACTCCTGACCTCAGGTGATTGACCCACCTCAGCCCCCAAAGTGCTGGGATTACAGGCGTGAGCCACTGTGCCTGGCCTTCAGCCTAGTTTTGTAATTTTTTTTTTTTTTTTTTTTTTTTTGAGACAGAGTCTTGCTTTGTCACCCAGGCTGGAGTGCAGTGGCGCGATCTCAGTTCACTACAAGCTCCGCCTCCCGGGTTCACGCCATTCTCCTGCCTCAGCCTCCCGAGTAGCTGGGACTACAGGCGTCCACCACCACGCCCGGCTAATTTTTTTGTATTTTTAGTAGAGATGGGGTTTCACCGTGTTAGCCAAGATGGTCTTGATCTCCTGACCTCATGATCTGCCTGCGTCGGCCTCCCAAAATGCTGGTATTACAGGCATGAGCCACCATGCCCGGCCCCCTATTTTTGTGGGTTTTTTTTTTGTTTTGAGACAGAGTCTCGCTCTGTCGCCCAGGCTGGAGTGCAGTGGCCGGATCTCAGCTCACTGCAAGCTCCGCCTCCCAGGTTCACGCCATTCTCCGGCCTCAGCCTCCCGAGTAGCTGGGACTACAGGCGCCCGCCACCTCGCCCGGCTAGTTTTTTGTATTTTTTAGTAGAGACGGGGTTTCACCGTGTTAACCAGGATGGTCTCGATCTCTTGACCTCGTGATCCGCCCGTCTCGGCCTCCCAAAGTGCTGGGATTACAGGCTTGAACTACTGCGGTTTTTTTTTTCTTTTTGAGACAGAGTCTCGCTCTGTTACTCAGGCTGGAGTGTAGTGGCGTGATCTCAGCTCACTGCAAACTCCACCTCTGAGTTCACACCATTCTCCTGCCTCAGCCTCCCAAATAGCTGGGACCACAGGCACCCGCCACCACGCCCGGCTAATTTTTTGTATTTTTAGTAGAGAGGGGGTTTTACCGTGTTAGCCAGGATGGTCTCGATCTCCTGACCTCGTGGTCCTCCTGCCTCGGCCTCCCAAAGTGCTGGGATTACAGGCGTGAGCCACCGCGCCTGGCCTATTTTTGTATTTTTAATAGAGACAGGGTTTTGCCATGTTGGCCAGGCTGGTCTCAAATTCTTGACCTCAGGTGATCTGCCCACTTTGACCTCGTTTATCAGTTTTGATGCTTGCATCACCCTTGTGGGAGATAGATAGGAATGTTGCTGTTTTATAAATGAGAAAAAAGGATTTAGGAAACTTAGGTAACTTGGCCAAGGTCATACATTTGATAAATAGCAGAGCTAGGACTTTCACATAGGTCCAGTGAAATCCCTATTCCTGTGCTTCTAATTAGACACTGAGCTCCGTTTAGGAAACATAGATTTGATACTAAATGCCATTTATTGAATACTGTGTCAGATAAGGGTATTAAGTGCCAGATAAGTAGTATCTTCTTATCTGTTTATCTTCACAAAATCCCTTGAGATGGATTGTATTTCCATTTTGCAGATTGGAAAACTGAGGTTTAGGGAGGTGGTATGACATGCCTAAGGGCACAGCTTTAATGAGTGGAGCTGGGATTAGAACTCAAGTTTGGGCCCCGTGCAGTGGCTGACACCTATAATCCCAGCACTTTGGGAGGCTGAGATGGGCAGAACACCTGAGGTCAGGAGTTCCAGACCAGCCTGGCCAACATGGAGAAAGCCTGTCTTTACTAAAAATACAAAAATTAGCCAGGCATGGTGGTGGACACCTGTAATCCCAGCTACTCTTGGGAGGCTGAGGCAGGAGAATTGCTTGAACCCGGGAGGTGGAGGTTGTAGTGAGCCGAGATTGGGCCACTGTACTCCAGCCTCGGTGACAGAACGAGACTATCTAAAAAAACAAAAAGAAAACTCGAGTTTGGCTGGCTCTGAAATTCATCCAGTTAACTTCTGTGCTCTCCCAGCACAGGCTGGATGTGGTGTCTCCCATTTTGTAAGTCCCCAGGGGTACCCAGCTTACCCAGGCCCTAAGAAGCAGCAAATCTGGAATAGGAATGATGTACCCAGGTAACTAATTGAAGGCAAAATGTGAATATACTCTGTGAAAAGGCTCTGGGAAGTAAGGCAGGGAGAGGCCTCACTTTTACCTTAAGAGCACCCAGGAAGTCTTTTCATCCCTTGCCAAGGCTTGGCTGGCACTGACCAACCCTGAATCCCCTGGCATCTGGAAGTGAAGGTACCTGTATCGGTGAGGCATCCTTGGGTTCTGGCCCAACCAGGGAAACTTGGCCCACCTTGGACAACTTCTTAGGGAACCCCTAATAGGTTGTAAGTCCTTTCTCAAGACCCTTCTTGACCAGAAGGTCAAGTTCAAACTTTACCTCCCATACCCATCTCTGTCTCTTCCCTCCCACATGTCACCCTACTCCATCCTGTACCAGCCAGACTCAGCTTTTTGCTTCATGTAAGTTGGTTTTGTTCAGATTATACGATTAATGCAGGTTTATTATAGAATACAGAAACATTCAAAGAACAGGGAAAAAATATATTCTCACTTTCATATAACCCCAGGGATATAATAACTGTTAATTTCAGGGCATTTTATTTCTAGCGCATAGTCTTTTTTTTGTCATTGAAACACGCTCTTGCTCTGTAGCCCAGGCTGAAGTGCAGTGACAAGATCTCGCTCACTGCTACCTCCGCCTCCTGGGTCCCGGTTCAAGCAATTGTGCCTCAGCCTCCCGAGCAGCTGGGATTACAGGCATGTGCCACCATGCCCAGCTAATTTTTTTATTTTTAGTAGAGACGGGGTTTCATCATGTTGGCTAGGCTGGTCTTGAACTCCTAACCTCATGATCTGCCTACCTCGGCCTCCCAAAGTGCTGGGATTACAGGTGTAAGCCACCACACCCGACCCATTTTGTTTTTAATTGGGATTATAGATCTTTGAAAAGTTGTTGTATAACCTGATATATTGAGAACATTTTACTCCAAGTAGTGGAAAAACACACAGTCACCCATTATCCTACCAGCTAGAGAGAACTGCTGTAACATTTGGTTTCTATGTTTCTGGACCTTGTTTTATGCATATGTGTGCATGTGTGTTTATATGTGAATGCATACGTTTTTAAAGAGTGATCAGACCAAATGCTTGAGTAACCTAATTTTTCACTTACTGCTATAACAGTTTTTTCGAAGTCAAAAACACCTGTGTCTTACATAGCAGTGCTGGTGTAACTATTTGTGTAACGTGCCACAGTGAACCTCTATCCTCCTCTCTGTCTTCCTGTCTGTCTCTTTTGTTTGTTTGTTTGTTTTGTTTTGAGAGGGCAATGTCTTGCTCTGTCTCCCCGGCTGGAGTGCTCTGGCATGATCATGGTTCACTGCAGCCTCAACTTCTCAGGCTCAGCTGATCCTCTCACCTCAGCCTCCCAAGTAGCTGAGACTACAGGTGCACGCCACCATACCAGGCCTTTTTTTTTTTTTTTTTCCTTGAGACAGAGTCTTGCTCTGTTGCCCAGGCTGGAGTGCAGTGTTGTGATCTCGGCTCACTGCAACCTCTGCCTCCCAGGTTCAGGTGATTCTCCTGCCTCAACCTCCTGAGTAGCTGGGATTACAGGCACGTGCCATACGCCCAGCTAATTTTGGTATTTTTAGTAAAGATGGGGTTTCACTATGTTCGTCAGGCTGTTCTTGAACTCTTGACCTTGTGATCCGCCACCTTGGCCTCCCAAAATGCTGGGATTACAGGCGTTTACCACCACGCCTGACTTTTTTTTTTAAGTTGGAGTCTTGCTCTATCTCCCAGGCTGGAGGGCAGTGACACGATCTTGGCTCACTGCACCCTCCTCCTCCCAGGTTCAAGACATGCTCCTGCCTCAGCCTCCCAAGTAGTTGGGATTACAAACACCCACCAACACGCCCAGCTAATTTTTGTATTTTTAGTAGAGACAGTGTTTCACCATGTTGCCCAGGCTGGTCTTAAACTCCTGGGCTCAAGCAATCCACCTGCCTTAGCCTCCCAAAGTACTGGAATTACAGGCGTGAGCCACTGCGCTGGGCCTTCTGTCTTCTCTTGATGGACATTTAGGTGGTTTGGAATGTTTCATCACAATAAAATAGTACAGTAGTGAGCAAACACCCCCCACATAAATCATTTAACAATGAAGGCCTTTGTGCCATCGTGCCTGCTGGCCCTCTGGCTTGGGTGCCGTTTCTCTGCTTGACCTGGTACACTGCCCATCTTTGGAGGCTCCACACACACCACCCACTTGGCAAAGTCTTCTTTGCTGTGAGCCGCCAGTTGCTCTTTTCCCTCGGCTCCCAAGCCTCTCTACATGCCTGATTTTAACACTCATTACAGACAAATCATCTGTATAGCTCTGTACTCTGGACCGTGAGCCTGTCTGATTCTCTGTAAGCAGGGCTCATCACACGGTAGGTGCACCATAAACTGTTGAGTGGCAAGGTGGTTGCCAACCTCTCTCCTACCTTAGCTGTTTGTGATTCCAAAAGCCTAAAGTTCTGCTCTTTGGTCCCTGGCAGCTAAAGATGTGATTAAAGAGATTGAAGACTTTGACAGCTTGGAGGCTCTGCGTCTGGAAGGCAACACAGTGGGTGTGGAAGCAGCCAGGGTCATCGCCAAGGCCTTAGAGAAGAAGTCGGAGTTGAAGGTGAGCAGAGTGGGGTGAACAGGCCCAGGCTGGTTTGAACAAGCTTCTGTTCACGCTTCCACAACCCCTGCCTGTGTCCAGTCTCTTCCAGGCCCCTGCCTGTGTGGCTGTCCCCCAAGCAGCTCCTCTTCCTCTGGCCTCCCCAGAGCACACAGCATTGGCTAGGGACCCTCTTCCTGTAGTCAGCAGACCCTGAGAGGGTGTTAGGGGTGCAGGAGGATTATTGGAGTGACACCTGTGAAAGATAAAGTAGGCAGAGCCTTCTGCTCACAGTGTAGATATGTCACATATGAGGTTGGAAGGTTGCAGAAATAACCAGCAGGAGCCTCTGACTGTGAGGCTGCTCTGACCGACCCACCCTCTGGGAGTTTCAGAGCAAAGACTGCCCATGAAAGGAGTCTCATTTTGGGCAGAAGTGGCCAGGCCTCAGGTCAAATGCTGCAGCGATAGGAAGGTGCTGTAGCCAGAGACTGCCAGCTCCCTACACTCCTCGCAACAGAGGCAAGTTCTCTTTTTTTGATTTTTGAGACGGAGTCTCACTCTGTCGCCCAGGCTGCAGTGCAGTGGCACCATCTCGGCTCACTACAACCTCTGACTCCTGGGTCCAAGCGATTCTCCTGCTTCAGCCTCCCAAGTAGCTGGGATTACAGGCTGCCACCAGGACTCTGGCTAATTTTTTTTGTATTTTTAGTAGAGATGGGGTTTCACTATGTTAGCCAGGATGGTTTTGCTCTCCTGACCTTGTGATCCGCCCGCCTCAGCCTCCCAGAGTGCTGGGATTATAGGCATGAGCCACTGCTCCGGCCTTTTTTTTTTTTTTTTTTTGTGATGGAGTCTCACACTGTCACCCGGGCTGGTGTGCAGTGGTGCAATCTCGGCTTGTTGCAACCTCTACCTCCCAGGTTCAAGTGATTCTCCTGCCTCAGCCTGCCAAGTAGCTAGGATTACATGTGCCCACCACCACGCCGAGCTAATTTTTTTGTATTTTTAGTAGAGACAGGGTTTCACTTTGTTGGCAAGGCTGGTCTCGAACTCCTGACCTTGTGATTTGTCTGCCTCGGCCACCCAAAGTGCTGGGATTACAGGCATGAGCCACCGCACCCGGCTGGCAAGTTCTCTTGAAGGCTAGATCCAAATGGTGCCCTCCTTGGCCAACACAAAGGACAAGTCAGATTATTCTAGCCCCATGTTCCCCAAATGGGTTCCACTAAACACCAGTCTTTTGATATACTCTGTGAGAAAAGCAAGAGTGTCATGTTCAAAGCGTTGGGAGATGTCACTGGGTATTCCCCTCTCTTTGAAATCCCAAAGTCATGAGGGAGAGAGACCAGAGTTCCAGAATGGCATTGTCTCTTCATATGTGCAGGGCTAGGGTTGGGCTGGGCTCTTTTGCATGTCATTGCCTGCTCACAGCAACCAGGGAAGAGACTGGATTGAGTCTCCATTTATAAGTCAAGGGAACTGAGGCTCAGAAGGGCTCATTAAATAGCCACGATCAGCCGGGCATGATGGCTCACAGCTGTAATCCCAGCACTCTGGGAGGCCAAGGCCCAGAAGTTCGAGACCAGCTTGGACAACATGGTGAAACCCCATCTCTACAAAAAGTACAAGGATGGTTAGCCCGGCATGGTGGTGTGCACCTATGGTCCCACCTCCCTGGGAGGCTGAGATGGGAGGATTGCTTGAGCCTGGGAGGCAGTGGTTTCAGTGAGCCAAGATTGCACCACTACTCTCTAGCCTGAGTGGCAGAGCGAGACCCTGTCTCAAAAAAAAAGAAAAAAGCCAGGCGTAGTGGGTCACGCATGTAATCCCAGCATTCTGGGAGGCCGAGGCAGGCAGATCATGAGGTCAAGAGATCAAGACCATCCTGGCCAACATGATGAAACCTCGTCTCTACTCAAGATACAAAAATTAGCTGGGTGTGGTGGCATGTGCCTGTAGTCCCAGCTACTCGGGAGGCTGAGGCAGGAGAATCGCTCGAAACCAGGAGGCAGAGGTTGCAGTGAGCCAAGATCGCGCCACTGCACTCCAGCCTAGTGATAGAGCAAGACTCTGTCTCAAAAAAAAAAGAAAAAAAAAAAAAATAGAGATGTGGCCAAGCCACACATCCACACTCCCGAGATCAGTGTTCTCTCTGTGGCCCCACTTTCTGCAGGAGAAGGAATACAGGGGTAGAGGCCATGAGAGGATTTGCCCCAGAAGGGCCTGCCTGCTAGTTTACAAAATGACACTGCATATTTGTTTCCTTAGGAAGGTCATGGTCAAGTTAACCACCAAGACAGTGATTGTTTCTGCTCTCCTGCCTGGGGCCTGTACTTTCCCTGAGCATAAGTTGGGATGTTTTCCAACCAAAGAACTCAGAACTCGGCCCTCCCCGAGACCTGTGAAGAACAGGAACGGAGGAGCCATGGGTCTGAAGGCTCCAGGACTCAGCAGGAGCTGAGGTTGGGTTCGGCACATGGGATCAAGCCCTAACAGCACCACCTTTTTTTGCCGTATGTGGCCTTGCCCTGCGTGCAGCTCTGAGGCTGGGCTCTTATGAAATAGGAGATAGAGCCCTTCCTCCTTCCTCAGAGGTTGTCCTGGGAGAGCTTGGCCGGTAGGAGTGCTGCATGCACCTTCCCACCTGCTGCAGACGCAGTGGCTCGAGTGAATCACTGCACCCCACCTCCCAAGCCCTCCTCTGTGCAGGAAGCAGCCCAGGGCAGGGGCAGGGGGGGAGCTACCCTTGATGGCCCAGTGTTCTGGGCCTAGTGCTGACGCCAGAGGTGTTCTCTCCCTGGCTGTAGCAGTGTACAAGTGACGAGTGAGGTCTTGATGGGCGAGAGAAGTGCAGCCCGGAGTCACACAACCAGGGGTAGGCTGAGGTGGAGTCCAGGTGTCAGCCCAATCTTTTTTTTTTTTTTTAAAGAGACGAGTTTCACGCCATTGCCCAGGCTGTAGTGCAGTGGCATGATCATAGCTCACTGCAGCCTTGAACTCCCAGGCTCAAGTGATCCTTCCATCTCAGCCCCCTAAGTAGCTGGGACCATGTGTGTGCCACAATGTCCAGCTAATTTTTTTTCATTTCTTTTCTTTACTTATTATTATTATTATTATTATTTTCATGATGGAGTCTTGCTCTGTTGCCCAGTCTGATCTTGATCTCCTAGGTTCAAGCAGTCTTCCCACTTTGGCCTTCCAAAGTGCTGGGATTATAAGCGTGAGTCAATGTGCCCAGCCCAAGCAAGCTCTTAACTGCTTTGCTGTTCACATGGGAGATCGTTAGGACCTAAAACCTCATTTCAGAGAGAGGATACCAGAGGCTGGAGAGGGGGAGTGATGGCTGGAGTCAGCCAAATCAGGATTAGAACCCAGGCGGTGTGCTCTAGAGGCCTGTGCTGACTGTTCAGCTCATCAGAGTTGGGTTTGGGGAGGTTTGTTCGGAGTGACACGCCAGTATCTGTTGTGAGGGACTGTGGCGCTCGGGCTCTGACTGCCTGTTCCTGGCACTATGGACCTGCGTGCAGGTGTAACTACTAAATAGATCTGGTGTAGAGCAGCCAGCTGAGGCCCACATGTGTTCATGGTCTGCCTTATTGGTGGATATGCGGATTTGTCTGCAAAAACCAGCTTCCTTAGTATGTAAGGTGGGAGTGGATCCCTTGATCCCAGGAGTCTGAGATAAGCCTGGACAACATAGGGAGATTCCCACCTCTACAAAAGATACAAAAGTTAGCTGGGTGTGGTGGTACACACATGTAGTCCCAGCTGCTTGGGAGGTTGAGGTGGGAGGATGGCTTGAGCCTGGGAGGTCGAGGCTGCAGTGAGCCGTGTTTGCACGGCTATGCTCCGGCCTGAGCAACAGAGTGAGACCCTGTCTCAAAATAAAAAATAAGGGAGGTCTGGGCACGGTGGCTCTCATGCCTGTAATCCTAGCAGTTTGGGAGGCTGAGGCAGGTGGATCACCTGAGATCAGGAGTTCGAGACTAGCCTGGCCAACATAGTGAAACCCCATCTCTACTAAAAAAAAAAATACAAAAATTACTCTGGAGACAGAGGCAGAGAATCACTTGAACTTGGGAGGTGGAGGTTGCAGAGAGCCGAGATCACACCATTGTACTCTTAGCCTGGGCAACAAGAGTAAAACTCGGTCTCAAAAAATAAATAAATAAATAGATAGATAAAATAGGCCAGGCGCGGTGGCTCATGCCTGTAATTCCAGCACTTTTGGAGACTGAGGTGGGTGGATCACCTGAGGTTGAGAGTTCAAGACCAGCTTGACCAATATGGCGAAACCCCATCTCTACTAAAAATACAAAAAATTAGCTGGGCGTGGTAGCAGGTGCCTGTAATCCTAGCTACTTGGGAGACTGAGGCAGGAGAATCAGTTGAACCCAGGAGGCAGAGGTTGCAGTGAGCCGAGAATGTGCCACTGCACTCCAGCCTGGGCGCGACAGGATGAGACTCTGTCTCAAAAATAAATAAATAAATAATAAAATAAGGGTAATGGAGGTATCCATCCATCCCCTTAAATATTTATCTTTATGCTAGGAACATTCAAATTATTCTCTGTTAGCTTTTTTCTTTTTTTTTTGAGACAGTCTTTTTCTTTTTTTTTTTTTGAGACAGTCTTAAATATTTATCTTTATGCTAGGAATATTCAAATTATTCTCTGTTAGCTTTTTTCTTTTTTTTTTGAGACAGTCTTTCTATGTCGCACAGGCTGCTATGCAGTGGCACAGTTTCAGCTCAGCACAACCTCTGCCTCCCGGGTTCCAGCGATTCTCATGCCTCAGCCTCTTGAGTAGCTGGGACTACAGGTGTGCACCACCACGCCCGGCTAATTTTTATACTTTTAGTAGAGATGGGGTTTTGGCATGTTGGCCAGGCTACTCTCGAACTCCTGACCTAAGGTGATCTGCTTGTCTCCGCCTCCCGAAGTGCTGGGATTATAGGTGTGAGCCACTGCTCCCGGCATATTCTAGCTATTTTGAAATGTATAATAGATTAATGTAAACGATAGTTACCCTGTTGACCTATTGAACACTAGGTCTTATTTCTTCTAACTTTATACTTGTCTCCATTAATTAACCTTCAGCCTCCCCTCCCTCTAACTTTCCAGGCCTCTGGTAACTACCAATCTACTATCTCCATGAATTGCCTAATACTTTCTTTAAATCATACCAGGAGTGGTGTCATATGCCTGTACTTGCAGGTACTCTGGAGGCTAAGGTGGGAGGGTCGCTTGAGGCCACTAGGTCAGGGTTACAGTGAGCTATGATTGTGCCACTGCACTCCAGCCTAGGCGACAGAGTGAGAATCCATCTCTTAAAAAAAATGAAAAAAACAGCTAACTTTCATGTAATTTCAAAGCACTTCTATGAATGGAAAGCTGGCATTCTTTACAATAAAGGAAAGAAAATAGTGTTACTGAATTATTGTTTGATGCTGTTGCTATTTAATGACTCTGAGCCTGAGGCCTGTTCTCCCTTTATTAAAAAGTCCCCATCACTATGCTCATTTTTGTATTTTTAGTAGAGATGGGCTTTCACTATATTGGCCAGGTTGGTCTGGAACTCCTGACCTCAAGTGATCTGCCCGCATTGGCCTCCCAAAGTGCTGGGATCACAGGCGTGAGCCACTGGCCCTCAACACGGAATTCTGTGTTGTTTACGTTCATGTTTCTCTGTCATCCATAACCATATTACACATCCACGTAGAGGGTTGTATAAGTCAGGGATTTTCCTGATACTTCTGAGTCCCCAATAACCCTTGGAGGCCTCTTGATTTGAGAACAAGACTCCAGGTCCCACCAACTACAGCCAGAATGGGTCCAGCTTTTCACAAACAAAGCTCAATTAAGTCTTGCGGGCTGGGTGCGGTGGCTCACACCTGTAATCCCAGCACTTTTGGAGGCCGAGGTGGGCAGATCACCTAAGGTCGGGAGTTCGAGACCAGCCTGACCAAAATGGAGAAACCTTGTCTCTACTAAAAATACAAAAGTTGCCAGGCATAGTGGCAGATGTCTGTAATCCCAGCTACTCCGGAGACACAGGCAGGAGAATTACTTGAACCCGGGAGGCGGAGGTTGTGGTCAGCCGAGATCGCACCACTGCACTCCAGCCTGGGCAACAAGAGCGAAACTCTATCACAAAAAAAAAAAAAAAGAAGTCTTGCGATGCTTGGGTAGTTCAAATCCACCAGGATGAGGCTTCACTGTAGGCCTCCAGGGGCCTCTTCCACTAACTCTTGTCTTCTTTCCGCCGCAGCGCTGCCACTGGAGCGACATGTTCACAGGGAGGCTGCGGACTGAGATCCCACCAGCCCTGGTAAGCAAACGAGCTGTTCTTCCCCTCCACACACAGGACCCTCTTTGGCAGTTCCCAGGGCTTTTCTCATACTTTGTTCTTTCTGGAGCCTAAGATAAACCCTGTGGCTGATTGAGCTGCTGGAATGGAAGCCTGGCAAGCCCAGCATGTGCCCTGTGTTCTGACAGGAAGGGAGGGTGGGAGCACGGAGACTGACAGGGGAGGAACCCCAAGGGCGGGGACTTCAGGGAGGTGGGAGAGCTGAGACCACACACTCCTGGGGCCTCCTGAGCTGCGTGGTTTGGTTCACTGTGGATTTCACCCCAATACGATGCCCCGCCTTTCCCAGCAACCCTTTCCTGCACCTCACAGTCCTGCTCCTTCGTGAATTCTCTGCACACAGCCCATGTAGCCGTCCCCGTCTTTCTCTGGCTCCTCCCTTTCTCCACACCACTCTCTGCTTTGGTTTGCTGCCGTCATGGGTGGCTTCCCATTTCCTCATTCCCAGGGCTCAGACTGACTTGCGTTGAGTTCCCGGTCTGTGTGCGGGTGTGTGGAAGGAAATAGAAAGGGGCAACACAGAAAGGCTTGCCTGGTCGAGGGAGGAGAGCAGGGCTGGCTGTCTCTTCAGGTCGGCAGCCTCTCGGTGTGTCTTCCTGGCACGGGGCTGCACACGGCAGGCCTTGAGGGTGCAGATTTCTGGTCAGTGATGAGTGCGCACACCAATGTTACTGAGCCCCTCACCCTGGTTGTGCCCAGCCTCTTTTTATGTTTTATTTTTTAAATTTTGTTTTATTTTATTTTTGAGATGGAGTCTCATCTGTCACCCAGGCTGGAGTGCAGTGGTGCGATCTCAGCTCACTGCAAGCTCCGCCTCCCAGGTTCACACAATTCTCCTGCCTCAGCCTCCCGAGTAGCTGGGACTACAGGCGCCCACCACCACGCCCAGCTAAGTTTTTGTATTTTTAGTAGAGACAGGGTTTCACCGTGTTCGCCAGGATGGTCTTGATCTCCTGACCTCGTGATCCACCTGCCTCAGCCTCCCAAAGCGCTGGGATTACAGGCCTGAGCCACTGCGCCCGGCCTTTATTTTTTTTTAAAGACAGGGTCTTGCTATGTCGCCCAGGCTGGTCTTGAACTCCTGGGCTCAAACATTCCTCCCACGTCAGCCTCCCAAGTAGCTGGGATTACAGGTGCGTGCCACTGCACCTGGCTTGTGAGGCTAGGATTTGGAATGTAGGTTAAGAAAATTCATTTCTGGCTGGGTGTGGTGGCTCCTGCCTATAATCCCAGCACTTTGGGAGGCCGAGGTGGGCAGATCACTTGAGGTCAGGAGTTTGATACCAGCCTGGCCAACATGGCAAAACCCTGTCTTTACTAAAAATACAAAAATTAGCTGGGCATGATGGCACCTGCCTGTGTTCCCAGCTACTTGGGAGGCTCAGGCGGGAGAATTGCTTGAACCCAGAAGGTGGAGGTTGCAGTGAGCCAAAATCATGCCACTGTACTCCAACCTGGGTGACAGAGCAAGGCTACGTCTCAAAAAAAACAAAGGAAATTCATTTCAGTGATTGTATATAAAAGAATTTCAAGTCAGGCCGGGTGCAGTGGCTCACAACTGTAATCCCAGCACTTTGGAAGGCTGAGTGGAGGCAGATCACCTGAGGTCAGGAGTTAAAGACCAGCCTGGCCAACATGCTGACACCCTGTGTCTACAAAAGTACAAAAATTAGCAGGGCATGATGGCAGGTGTGTTTAATCCCAGCTACTCAGGATGCTGAGGCAGAAGAATCACTTGAACCTGGGAGGTGAAGGTTGCAGTGAGCTGAGATCGTGCCATTACATTGCAGCCTGGGTGAGAGAGAGCAAGAATCCATCTCAAAAAAAAAAAAGAATTTCAAGTTAGAAAAGATGGTGAAGAAAACTCTCTGCCCCAGTCTCTGGCAGAGCCTCCTCTCTGACCATTTCTCCTGGTGGGATGAGGGAGTGTAGCTCTCTCCAGCCCAGGAGGTTTCCAGGAGAGCTCCAGATCCTCCTGCCAAAGCTGATCCTGGCCGTGGCTTGGAGATGGCCACCTCCATCTGCCAGTCATCACCAGAAACCCTGGAGGCATTTGTGGTTCCTCCCTCCCTCCTCCTGCATGTCCAGGGAACCACCAGCTTCGGCATGTCCCCTGCTCCGTGAACAGGCAGCTCCTCTCTTGCACTTGTCACACTGGCCGGCAGGTCCCCTCTCTGTTGCCAGTGTTGCTGCCTCACACTCCCGGGAGGGCACTCCAGCCCATCTTCCTATGCATCTGCTCTCTTCGGGTCCGGGGATGTTACTTTCGTATCCCTCAGCCACCTCAAAGCCTAGTGCTGTCGGGCTGAGGCTCACAGTTCTTGGCCTGGCATTCAAGGCTCTTGCCTGATCTGAGCCCTTACTTCCCTTCCACCCAAAGCCCATGCCATGTTGTCTTCTGGAGTCTACCCACAGCTTGCCCCCAGGCTCACAGCCTGCTGCTTCCTGCTTATGTCTCTCTGCTCCTGTTTTTCAGCTGCTTGGAGTCTTTTCATATTGACTAGCTGATTCTCATTCAGACTAAGCCCAAATGCCACCTCTTACAAGGAGCCTTCCCAGGCCACCCCATGAATACACACACCCCACTCTCCAGCTGTTAGGAGCCCTTTGCAGAGTTTCCAGCCTGAAGAATACCAAAATGGTTTGTGTCTGTGCTGGTTCTGCACCAGCCGGGGTGTCCTTGGAAGGCAGAGCTGGGCCTGGCACAGAAGCAGCACCTGCTGGGTGTCTGTGAAACTGACACGAGCTTCCTCTATGCCCAGATCTCACTAGGGGAAGGACTCATCACAGCTGGGGCCCAGCTGGTGGAGCTGGACTTAAGTGACAACGCGTTTGGGCCCGACGGTGTGCAAGGCTTCGAGGCCCTGCTCAAGAGCTCAGCCTGCTTCACCCTGCACGAACTCAAGCTCAACAACTGTGGCATGGGCATCGGTGGCGGCAAGGTGGGTGTGGCAGCCCTCTCCCCGCAGAGTCCCCTGGTCCATCCACATCCGTCAGATATATGTGCCCTGGCCCTTGGCCACCACCATCTGGGATGGTCAGCCGTTGTTTTCAAAAGAGAAAGGCCTCAAAGGCAGCAGCCTGTGGCCGGAAGGTAGAGGCATCCATGAGGGTGGGGTTGCCAAGCAACCATCCCGTTCTTGGGTTGGCTTGGCAACGCAGAGGGAGTGCCGCTGCATACCTGCTCCAGCCTGCTGGCTCTGCAAAACTCAGGGCTTGGGGCATCCCTACACTCACTGTACCCACAGAGCAGCTAGTATAGCCTGGCACACAGGCGGAGGAGGGAGCCTGAAAAGAGGAGCGTCCACTCAGGGAGGCACTGTCACAGCTCACCTTTATTCCTGGACAGGGCCTTGCCCCTGGGGTGCAGGGGTCATCCCCCAGGCAAGGTCAGTGTAGAGCGTCACGTTGGGCTGGTCAGTGTAGAGTGGAGCTTCCTTGCTTCCCAGAACCTGCATCGAGGGCAGCCTGCGTGTTACTCTCTTCCAACTCCATCCCAGTGCCTTTAGACCCAGGGTTGGAGAACGCTGAGTGCCAGGCTGCAACCCCTGCACACACTTTCTAACCAAAGGGAGAAAAGGGCACTGGGAACTAACAGCAGTTGGGGACATCTTATTTGAATATGCAATACTTTAACTTTTCACACCCACACTGAAAGGTGGGTGGTGCCATCCCCATTTTTCCACATGACTCAGCATAAGCTTAGAGAGGTGGGTGGAGTGGATCACATAGCTAGTGCAGTGAGGCCCATGGCGCCCCAGGCTGAGGAGCTGGAGTGGCCTATCCTGCCGAGGGTGCCTGTGGCCCTCAGCCTGATGTGAGGGTGAGCAGGGGCAGGCTCTGTACCTGTCTTAGACAGCCCTCCCCCAAATCCACTTGGGCAATAAGCTGTCCCTGTGTTAAGATATAAAAATGCGCCGAGCACGGTGGCGCAGTGGCTCATGCCTGTAATTCCAACACTTTGGGAGGCCGAGGCAGGTGGATCACCTGAGGTCAGGAGTTCGAGACCAGCCTGGCCAACATGGTGAAACTCTACTAAAAATACAAAAATTAGCTGGGCGTGGTGGCAGGCACCTGTAGTCCCAGCTACTCAGGAGGCTGAGGCAGGAGAATTGCTTGACCCGGGAGACAGAGGTTGCAGTGAGCTGAGATGGTACCACTGCACTCCAGCATAGGCAACAAGAGCGAAATTCCGTCTCAAAAAAAAAAAAAGATATAAAAATGTTTGCATCAGCACAGAAAGCAGGTGCGGCCCAACCTAGAATGAGTGGGATATGCTAGGAGAGCCAGAGACTCTATTCTAGCAAAATGCTTCAGTTTTCCTTCCATTACTTCCCTTCTCCCGTCCAGCAGTGTCTGGAAACTGAGGCTAAGGGAGCTTTCCTACTAGCCAGGGCTTGTCTGTCCTGTCCTGTACTTGCAGTGGGATGAGTTGGGGAATGAGTTTTGAACCCCAGGACCAGAGGGCCTCCTGGGCAGACAGGCCCACCGTGGAGTTTGATTAATGGTTCTCTGCGCCTCGGACCACTAATTCAATTAGATCTCTGGGTCTTGGCCTTGCCAACCTGCGCCTCTTGGGAGCTCAGACGCCGTAGTCTGGGTGTCTAACCAAAGCCTGCAGGTCCTTTGGCATCTTTTTCTTCTGGACAGTGTGTTTAGTGTGGTTTCTGTGCCATGCACCATGAGAATAAGAGGGCCCAGAGGAGTCGACGGGGCAAGAGGCGTGGCCCTGTGCTGGGGAACTCTCCCTACCCAAGTTGGACTCCTTCAGGAGCTAAGGCCCTCACCACGTGGCCTCCAAGGAATCGGGGAGAATGGGGGTGACCTAGCAGTCGGCTGCTGCTGCTGAGGAGCTTCCTCAGAGGCTGGTCTTTGGCAGAAGTTTGATGCCTCTACCCTGAGTGTGTACATGATCCACCATCACCACCGTGGAGTCAGGCAGGTGCTGGCTCTTCTGTTCCTCAAGGACGGCTATGTGCAGTCTCATGCCAGGAGTTAGGCCAACCTACCCGCCATGTGTGGCTTTGCTAAATATTTGCTGGGTGACCTTGGCCGATTCACTCACCTCTCAGAGCCTCAGCTTCCTCATCTGTAAAGTACGGCCAATCCCGCCTGCCTCCTCCCAGGCTAGTGTTGAGGTTGAAACGAGAAAATATGCCGAGGGTGCCCTAGCAGGTGCTCTGCAAACGTCAGGTGTTCTGTAAATCTCACTTCTCTCTTGGTGCACTCACTCATGATTCTTTTGTGTCGCGTTTACCATGGGCTGTGATTCCCATCTGTCAGTCTCCGTTTTTCAGTGCTTTGCCTATTGGTGTAACCAGGGTAGAAGCTACTTCCTGGCACCACACCAGGGACAGGACAAGGTGGGTGTTAGGTTTTTACTGCCAACAGGCAAGCCCCTGCCATGCCTGGCCAGCTGAGATACAGGCATGTATCAGACAGGTCCTTCTGGACCGTGGACTTGGCAGCTGGCTCCCTTGGACATTGTGGTGCATGGAAGAGAAGCTGGAAGATTTGGGCTCTGGTCCAGCGTCCACCACTTGTTTATTGACTATAAGAAAGTTTCTGTTCCCCTTACCCTGAGTTTCTTCAGCTGGAAAACAGGAGTCATGAAGTAAGCTGACTAGGAAGTCCCTCCTCTGGACCTGGCTGAAAGGTCGTCCACTCCATGTGGTCTCTCCCTTTCCTCAGTCTCTGAAGTAAAGCTAAACCTCTCAGGCTGGTGTGACGCAGCATTAGATGTAAAAACCTTTGTAAACTGAAGTGCTGGGCACATGGAAGGTGTGACTGTTGTGCTGTTAGCAGTCCTGTGTCTCCTGACCTGCACTGGTGGGTGGCGTGGGATGTTGAAGAGCAGTTCAGTGGCAGTGGCTGCCCCACTGGGAGAAGGGGCTCCTGCCCATGGCCTGGGCCCCTTACCTTTCCCCACAGATCCTGGCTGCAGCTCTGACCGAGTGTCACCGGAAATCCAGTGCCCAAGGCAAGCCTCTGGCCCTGAAGGTCTTCGTGGCTGGCAGAAACCGTCTGGAGAACGATGGCGCCACTGCCTTGGCAGAAGCTTTTAGGGTGAGTGGTTTCTGTCCATCCTGCGCCCGTGACCCTGAGGTGCACTTGGTTTAGTAGGCTGACAGTCCTGGATGCAAATCCGTGGCTGGCACTCAGCCGAGAGACCTGGGGCGTCACGTGCCCCCTCCAAGCCTGTTAGTCCATCTGAAAATGGGCCAGGATTCTTGTCATGCATTTCTGGAAAGGTGTGTGACTGCTCCCTCAGGTAAGCCAGCAGCAGCCCCCTGCGGGGCTTCAGGCCAGGCAGGCCGCTCTGACCAAAGAGTGTCGTCTGCCAGGCTCAGAAGTGGTGAAATGAGATGACGGGAGTACTGACAGTAGCCTGGCCCAGCCCCTGGTGTGGGGCACAGAGAAGGAACATACCAGACTTCCCAAGACAGGGAGACAGGCAGGGGCATCTGCAGGGCTCAGGGGCCAGATGATGAGGTGCTCTCAGGTGACCTTGTCCCCGCTCTTCTTCCGCTCTCCTCTCCCCATCCCCCCAGGACATTGCTGAGTCCCCGACTGCGAGTGCCAGCAGAAGGCCACATTTGCTCCTAACAGGACTGAAAACTTTGGGGTCTGTCTCCCTCTTCTCTTTTTTTTTTTTTTTTTGAGGCAGTCTCATTCTGTCACCTATGCTGGAGTGCAGTGGCACGATCTTGGCTCACTGCAGTCTCCGCCTCCCAGGTTCAAGCAGTTCTGCCTTAGCCTCCCGAGTGGCTGGAATTATAGGCGCTCACCACCACACCCGGCTAATTTTTGTATTTTTATTAGAGACAGGGTTTTGCCATGTTGGCCAGGTAGTCTCGAACTCCTCACCTCAAGTGATCTGTCCACCTGGGTCTCCCAAAGTGCTGGGATTACAGGCATGAGCCACCACACCCAGCCCCTCTTCTCTTCATTTAAGTGTTTTCTTCAGCAAACAGTATCCTAGGAGCATTGCTCGTACGGGCCGGAATGGCACCCACTGTCCTGCCTGCCCACAGAGCCTGCCTATAGACACCCCTTGCCTGCTTCAGTGCCAAGTGAACACCATAGAGATCTGCCTTGTGTCTCCCGCATCCCTGGCTGCAGGGGAGCCCCCGCTCCCTCCTCGAGCTGGAGGGGGCCTCGCTACCATCCTTGGACCCCTCCCTGCCCTCAGCCTGCTGTCCTCAGTACACTAGGAGTAGGTGGTGTGCTGTGGTTGTGTTGAGCCTTCATAGGTATCCTCTGGTGGGCTTCGAATGGGAGTTCTTAATCCCTTCCAGTCTGTGGATAGAATTCAGGGGTCTGTGAACATGGATGAGGAAAAAATAACATCATTATTTATCCCTAACATAGCAAAAGTATGTAGTGTGACTTTTGATCATGAATGTAGACAATAAACCTCACAGCATTAGAAAGGCCTGTGAATAACCCACATAACAGACAAGCACGTGTAGCCCCTGAACCAAACAAAAGATTTATTGAGACAGGGTCTTACTCTGTGACCAGGCTGGAGTGCACCAGTAGCAGTCTTGGCCCACTGCAGTTTCAGCTTCCCAGGCTCAAGTGATCCTCCCACCTCAGTCTTCCAATTAGCTGGGACTATAGGTGCACACCACCATGTTAATTTTTGTATTTTAGTAGAGATGGGGTTTCACCACGTTCACCAGACTGGTCTCAAACTCCTGACCTCAGGTGATACACCCGCCTTGGCCTCCTAAAGTGCTGGGATTATAGGCATAAGCCACTGTGCCCAGCCTAAAATTTTTTTTTTTTTTTTTTTTTTTTTTTTTTGAGACAGTCTCGCTTTGTCGCCCAGGCTGGAGTGCAGTGGCGCGATCTTGGCTCACTGCAAGCTCCGCCGCCCGGGTTCACACCGTTCTCCTGCCTCAGCCTCCCGAGTAGCTGGGACTACAGGCACCTGCCACCTCACCCGGCTAGTGTTTTTTTTGCATTTCTTAGTAGAGACGGGGTTTCACCGTGTTAGCCAGGATGGTCTCGATCTCCCGATCTCGTGATCCGCCCGTTTCGGCCTCCCAAAGTGCTGGGATTACAGGCTTGAGCCACTGCACCCGGCCTAAAATTTTTTTAAAAATAAATGACGGGTGCGGTGGCTCATGCCTGTAATCCCAGCACTGTGGGAGACTGAGACGGGTGGATCATGAGGTCAGGAGATCGACACCATTCTGGCTAACACGGTGAAACCTTGTCTCTACTAAAAATACAAACAAATTAGCTGGGCATGGCGATAGGCACCTGTAGTCCCAGCTACTTGGGAGGCTGAGGCAGGAGAATGGTGTGAACCTGGGAGGCAGAGCTTGCAGTGAGCCAAGATCACACCACTGCACTCCAGCCTGGGCGACTGAGTGAGACTCTCTCATAAATAAGTAAATAAATAAATAAATAAATAAATAAAAAGAAAATCTTGTGACTTTATCCCCAGTGGAAATCACAGATATTTCATGTGAAGTTATAATTATTGCTGATATATAGAAATATTTCTCACTACATCAAAATTACAGTAATAGCGAACCCACCCCTAGATCTTATTTAGTGCATTAACAAGAAGTTTGTGGCTGGATGCGGTGGCTCACGCCTGTAATCCCACCACTTTGGGAGGCTGAGGCAGGTGGATCACGAGGTCAGGAGATCAAGACCATCCTGGTTAACACTGTGAAACCCCATCTCTACTAAAAATACAAAAGCAAAAAATTAGCTGGGCGTGGTGGCGGACACCTGTAGTCCCAGCTACTTGGGAGGCTGAGGCTAGAGAATGGCGTGAACATGGGAGGCGGAGCTTTCAGTGAGCCGAGATCGCACCACTGCATTCCAGCCTGGGCGACAGAGCGAGACTCCATCTCAAAAAAGAAGAAGTTTGTATATCACTACAGCACGTGTTTGGAATTTTTTCCTAAATGTTTTGATAACTGTTCTGAGTTGATTTCCTTTGTAATTCTGTATAATTTATCTTAAAATTTTAAAAACCATTTTTTGCAGAGAGGACCCAGGGGCTTCACCAGACAGCCTGAAGGGTTCATGGCACAGAAAATATTAAGAAGGCCTGACCTGGAGTGTGCCTCAGTTGCCTTACTGTGTTTATTTGTGGACCACCCGCTACCCCCATCGCCCCATGCTTCACTGAGCACCCGAGGACAGCGGAAGGCTCCTTGGCACAGTTATGCCAGGCCTACCCTCAGTCCTGGGTCACAGTGGAGACTGGGACATGGCCCTCTCCTCCAAAGCTCAGGGGCTGATGGGGTGCAGATGGAATATAGGCTTTGAATGTAGGCAGGGTGAGGACCACCGTGATAGAGGAGGGACCAGGTGCTCCGGGAGCACAGAGGAAGAGCACTGGACCCTGCCTAGGGGAATCAGGAAGCCTTCCTGGGAGAGGAGGTGACCAAAACAAGAGCCCTAGAACTCATATGAGTTAGCCTGTCAAGAAAGTGCTGACTGGCCAGGTGTGGTGGCTCACGCCTATAATCCCAGCACTTTGAGAGGCCAAGGACGCTGGATCACCTGAGGTCAGGAGTTCAAGACCAGCCTGGCCAACATGGTGAAACCCCATCTCTACTAAACATACAAAATTAGGTGTGGTGGTGTGTGCCTGTAATCCCAGCTACGCAGGAGGCTGAGGCAGGAGAATCACTTGAACTCAGGAGGTGGAGGTTGCAGTGAGCCAAGATCATGCCACTACACTCCAGCCTGGGCGACAGAATGAGACTCCATCTCAAAAAAAGAAAAAAAATGAAAATAAAATAAGGAGACAGAGTGTTCCAGGCAGAGAGAATGGGTATCAAAATGCCAGGCTGTGATAGGACTGCATGGCCCAGGGAAGACCCCCATCATCCCCAGAGAAGGACACGCTATGTCAAAGGGGTTATGTTGTGTAGGTGGGTGGGGTAGGAAGGCCCCAAGAAAGAAAGGTCACATGGAGCTATGTCATCCAGAGAAGGGCCGTGAGTGACTGCCCACCACAGCCAGGGTCCCCTCTGTGCAGAGGATACCAGACTGAGAACAAGAAATCGACCTACTGGATCTAGAGCTCTGTGACCCTGGGCAAGTCACTTTGCCTCTTTGATTCCTAGTCTTTTCTCTGGTGGAGATCCTATCCCAGGCAGTAGGACTCCCTCATGAGGTTGTGGAAAGAGTCAGATGCAGCCATGCCCCAGAATCCCACAGATGAGCTCCTGCCCTGTGCTGGCGGCAGCCCATTCCTGTGCCTGCTGTGTGGAATTGCTCTCCCGCCTGCTGGATGTCACCTGGCACTCGGGGCCTCCTCCACTCTCTGCCTGCTCCTCACAGGTCATCGGGACCCTGGAGGAAGTCCACATGCCACAGAATGGGATCAACCACCCTGGTGTCACTGCTCTGGCCCAGGCTTTCGCCGTCAACCCCCTGCTGCGGGTCATCAACCTAAACGACAACACCTTCACCGAGAAGGGCGCCGTGGCCATGGCTGAGGTGAGGCGAGTGTGGCAGAGCCAATTACGACACGCAAGACAGAGGCTGGCGGCTGTCTTTCCAGGGAAGCCGGGGCTCCGTTTAGCAGGGACTGCTCTGTCCCCTGCCTGTCCCCTGGGTGTGTGCCCCATGGGTCCAGCTCTTTGAACATGTCCTGAACAGGGTTTCAGGTCACAAGGTAACCCGCGCCCTCCTCGGGCAGCTCCGATCCTTCATGCCACCTTCTGAGCTGCCTCTGTGGCCCCCAGCGGCTGGCGCTGGTTTGGTTCTCAGGCTGCTCACCGCATCTGTTTTCCTGGTTGATTTGTTCAGCAGCTGCTGTTTGTTTTGTTATTTATTACCACTTTTTGACACAGAGTCTTACTGTTGCCCAGGCTGGTCTTGAACTTCTGGGCTCAAGTGATCCTCCCATCTCAACCTGAGTAGCTGGGATTACAGGTGCATGCCACTGTGCCCGGCCCAGCAGCTTTTTCTGAGCCCCCATATAGTGCTTGGCTTTGTACTAAGTGCAGGCCACACAGGGTTGAGCCAAAGACTCTGCCTTCAGGGAGACCCTAGCTCAAGGAGGGAAGGAAGCTGCCGGTGGTAACAGTGCCGGGCTTTGAACGCAGTGGCTTCTTGGTTGCCAGGGCCCCGTGGCCCCACAGAAGGCTAGTCCGGCTGCCTATGTGTTAGCAGAGATGTGTGCAGGTGTTGGGGAACACGCCAGAAGGAAGTTCAAATCAGACTTAGGGCAGGCTTCCTGGAAGAGATCACATTTTGGCTAAATTGTATAGGATAGTGGTTTTGGTTTTTTTTTGAGACGGAGTCTCGCTCTGTCACCCAGGCTGGAGTGCAGTGGTGTGATCTTGGCTCACTGCAAGCTCCACCTCCCGGATTCATGCCATTCTCCTGCCTTAGCCTCCTGAGTAGCTGGGACTACAGGTGCTCGCCACCACACCTGGCTAATTCTTTGTATTTTAAGTAGTGACGGGGTTTCACCGTGTTAGCCAGGATGGTCTTGATCTCCTGACCTCGTGATCCACCCGCCTCAGCCTCCCATAGTGCCGGGATTACAGGCGTGAGCCACCGTGCCCGGCCATAGGACAAGTGGTCTTTTTCTAGAGAGAGGGTGGGGGATGGGTGTTTCAGGCAGACGGATCAGCTTATGTGTGGAAGGCCCAGAGACTCGGGCAGGAGCCTTGCTCGGTTGGTCTCAGGAAGAGTTCTCGCTGTAACGTGGGGAGTGGGGTGGAGGAGGTTTGGCCAGGGACCCAGAGGCCTACAAGAAGACAGCAAAGCTAGTGACTTGCAAAGGAGGACAGTGTGTGGTGGCTGGTGTGGGATGTGACCGTGTGGGGCCCCCGGGGCTTGCTGAGGGCTGGGGTGTGGCCTGCACCCTCACTCTGGACCCTTACTTCCACCTTGCAGACCTTGAAGACCTTGCGGCAGGTGGAGGTGATCAATTTTGGGGACTGCCTGGTGCGCTCCAAGGGTGCCGTTGCCATTGCAGATGCCATCCGTGGCGGCCTGCCCAAGCTAAAGGTGCCAGCCTGGACGCCTGACATCCTCCCTCTGGGGTCTGTGGGTAGTGGGGTGGCTGGGGGCGCAGGGGTCTGGTCTGAAGGCAGGCAGGCCTGCATCCATATCCCAGCTCCCCCACTTCGCGCTCTGTGATGCTGTATGAGCCTGCACACCCCTCTGAGCCATGGTTTCTTCATTTCTAAAGTGGGAGGCAGGGGGTGGTGTACGTCACTGTCGTATAGTAAACACACTCAGTACGTGACTCATCGTTGGTTGCAGGGCATTATTTTTGTTGTTGGTGTTATTCTTCCTGCCCACTTTGCCCAATCCTGAGGACAGAGCCTGCCATATTCTCACTTGGGGAAACTGAGGCTTAGAGTAGAACCTGGTGTCCTGGCCTGGGTTTCTGCCTGCCTCCAACCCGTCCTCTTATTTTCAGGAGCTGAACTTGTCATTCTGTGAAATCAAGAGGGATGCTGCCCTGGCTGTTGCCGAGGCCATGGCAGACAAAACTGAGCTGGAGAAGCTGGACCTGAACGGTAGTCAGATGGGGGAGGCCTCTGCACAGGTCTGCTGGGCTGGCCCTGGCACCCCGGGCTGACTGCTCTTCCCTCCCCTTGAGCAGGCAACACCCTGGGAGAAGAAGGCTGTGAACAGCTTCAGGAGGTGCTGGAGGGCTTCAACATGGCCAAGGTGCTGGCGTCCCTCAGGTAGGGAACTCAGGGTGGGCGGCCCCAGAGGTCAGGGTCAGGCCATTCCTTTCTTTCTTTTTCTTGAGACGGAGTCTTGCTCTGTTGCCCAGGCTAAAGTACAGTGGTGCGATCTCAGCTCACTGCAGCTTCCACCTCCTGGGTTCAAGCGATTCTCCTGCCTCGGCCTCCCAAGTAGCTGGGATTATAGGCACCCACCACCACACCTGACCCCTTTATTTGTTTCTACTTGTATTTATTCAGAAATGTTGGTTGCACTCCTGTTATGTACCAGGTCATACACTAGGCATCAGGGCTATAAGGGTGGGACAGTAAGGGTTTCTGTCTCATGACGGGGGAGACAGAATGAGTTGTCCATTCAACAGAGGATCTTGTCCGGGCTAAGCGGGGCCACCCTGTAGAGTGGTGGAGTTGGGGAGGCCTCTGAAGGGGTGAGGCCAGATCTCATCCTGATGTGGTGGGGCCTGAGGAGTGATGGGGGTGAGAGGTGGGGGTAGCCAGAAGGGGCTGCATTCAGTATTGTTCTTAAGATGCTGACTCTAGAAAGGAAGAGACTGTGGGGCCTGGGGAGTCTACTGGAGGCGAAGGTGGGTGACCGGGGAGTGGCCATCTTCTGGATCCAAGTCCGGTTGGGCCATCAGCACCTGGCTCTCTGTACTCCTTTCATCTCCAAGTCAGCCTCATTCATGCGTCAGATACTCAGTCGTGTCTCCTCAGTGCTAGGCCCTGAGCTGAGGCTGGGAACTGGGGACTCCGAGGTGGGCTGAACCTCACAGGTCCCACAGTCCCTCGGAAATGGACCAGCCTTCCTGTGGGGCAAGGACACCCCTACTCTTCTTCCTCCCCCACACCTGTAGCTTCCTGAGGTCATGTGGATATGGGCGCCCCCTGCCCTGGCATCTCAACCTGGGCAGTGTTCCTGCTAAGCCCTGGGCTCTGGGTGTGACAAAGCTGTCTTCGTTTTCTGTCTCCCCATGAAACCTGGGGCTCCTTGAGGACAGGAACAAGATGTGATTCTTTTGTGTCCACAGCGTGGATTTCTCTGGTGATCTACCTACCCCTGCCCTGGGAGCAGGTGCTCCCACCCCACCAGGCTCTCTCCCGCCTGGCTGAGCTGAGGTCTCTGGGCTCATGGAGCCAGGCCTTGCAGCCAACCTGGGCTGCTGGGTAGAGAGGATCTGCTTCAGCCAGCTCTTTCTGCAGTGACGACGAGGACGAGGAGGAGGAGGAAGGAGAAGAAGAAGAGGAAGCCGAAGAAGAGGAGGAGGAGGAAGAGGAGGAAGAGGAAGAAGAAGAAGAGGAGGAGGAAGAGGAGGAGCCTCAGCAGGGAGGGCAGGGAGAGAAGTCAGCCACGCCCTCACAGAAGATTCTGGACCCTAACACTGGGGTGAGTTTCTATCATTTGCCACAATCAGAGCCCTGGTCCTGAGAACGTGAAATCCTGAGGTGCTTTCACAATGGGGTAGGGGGTGTCTCCTTAAGCACAGTAGCCACAAACATTTTTTTTTTGATTGCATGATATTGAGTAAAAAAAAGAAAATGGTTCAGTGTAATGATAGTTACCTATATTTCTTTCTTTCTTTCTTTCTTTTTTTTTTTTTTTGAGACGGAGTCTCACTCTGTCACCCAGGCTAGAGTGCAGTGGTGTGATCTCAGCTCACTGCAACTTCTGCCTCCTGGGTTCTAGCGATTCTCATGCCTCAGCCTCCCAAATAGCTGGGATTACAGGTGCTTGCCGCCATGTCCGGCCAATTTTTTTTTTTTTTTTGGAGACAGAGTCTCGCTTTGTCACCCAGGCTGGAGTGCAGTGGCGTGATCTCAGCTCACTGCAAGTTCTGCCTCCCAGGTTCACACCGTTCTCCTGCCTCAGCCTCCTGAGTAGCTGGGACTACAGGCGCCCGCCACCATGCCCAGCTCATTTTTTATATTTTTAGTAGACATGGAGTTTCACCATGTTAGCCAGGATGGTCTTGATCTGACCTTGTGATCCGCCTGCCTCAGCCTCCTAAAGTGCTGGGATTACAGGTATGAGCCACTGTGCCCAGCCTCATCTGGCTAATTTTTGTATCTTTAGTAGAGCCGGGGTTTCGCTGTGTTGGCTAGGCTGGTCTTTGTTTTACTCCTGACCTCAGGTGATCCATCCGCCTCAGCCTCCCAAAGTGCTGGGATTACAGGCGTTGAGCCACCGCGCCTGGCCATAATTAGCTATATTTCTATTTATCCCAATATAAATGTCTATTTATAAGTAGCAGTGCTGCTGCATTACGTATATTATAAGATATGCATAAGGATTTCTGAAAGAATAAACAAATAAGCATGAATAGAAATTCTAATTTTTTTTTTCCCACCCACCAGAAGATTGTCTTGGTGACCCTTAGGAACTGCTCCCCCATTCCTGGGATGGTGGCTGGGCCGTGACTTGGCTTGGGCACTTGGTGTCTGGCCTGGGGCTGGTGGCATCAGGGCTGCCACACCTCCAGTTCATTCATTTGCATTCCCTGTCAGGTTCCTAAGTAAAGCTCCTGGGGAACTTGGCTTTGGACAAGGACTCCCCACACTTACGCTGAATTGGGCTGCTTCTCTGGTTTACGGAAGCAGTTAAACAAATGGCTAGGTGCGCCTCAATTCGGGTTTTTCTCTGGGCACCTCTGGTGCTAGCAGGGCTTACCTAGGCTGTACTGTAGTTCTCTGGGGACCCACTTTGGCCCCCATGTGCCTCTGTAGTCTTTGCTGGGGCACTGTGTGTCATGATGAGGATCCACTTGGTCGTATTTGTGAGTCCCAGGGAGGGGGCTTCCCCCTGACACCAAAGGCTCCTGGAGCAAGAGCCATCCAGGGCCAGCATCTCTAGGTGATGTTGATAGGTGGGAAATGCAGCTGAGTGGGAGGAGGAATTCTAGACTTTGAGCCTAGATGGGCTGGAGTGAAGGGTGGATGTGCTGGGTGTGGGGATGGGCACAGCTGGGTGGGGAGTCTGGGGTCCGGAATTCTCCAGAGCCTCTGTGCCTCCACTTTGCAGGAGCCAGCTCCCATGCTGTCCTCCCCACCTCCTGCAGACGTCTCCACCTTCCTGGCTTTTCCCTCTCCAGAGAAGCTGCTGCGCCTGGGGCCCAAGAGCTCCATGTTGATAGCCCAGCAGGTAATAGCCACACCTTGACCCCCACCCTATACTTGCCATGGCTTCTGGAGCTGTTAGAGAAAAGGGACGAACAGCTCAGGGACCTGGGGATGCGACACTGTCAGCTGGGGGCAGGGAGGCTTGGCCTGCCACTGTTAGAACACACACAGATGTCCAGGGTATTTGTAAGCCTCCAGGGGTTGCAAATGTTCCCTCCTCACTCGGCCTAAAGGAAGTGCAGCCCGCCAGTTCCCATGCTGACTGGGGTTAGGGAATTTCCTCAGGACTCTTGCACGTGCCCACCCCGTCCTGGGCTTCTCTCTGCATGTTCTGTCAGCCCAGCTGCTTGGAGAACAACTCTGTTGCCCGGGCCCCTCTGGGAGTGGCGTGCCTGTTGCAGGATGGCGCCCTCACTCCAGCCTAACTTGTTGGCTGGCTCATTCATTCATTCAGAGGTGATCTTTGGGGCATCCATTTTCTGTCAAGTACTGTATTTGGGCATGATTTTATTTAACCCTCTTGACAACTTGAAATGTAGACTTTGCTGCCCTTATTTTACAGATAAGAAAACAGAGGCTCGGAGGTATAGAGAAATAAAATGGGCGCACTCTCAGCGTTGGCTTAACATTTCGGCCAATTGCTTTGTTAGATTTTGCCTGTGTTCTTTGTTTCTTTTAACATGATAAATAAGATGATGTAAACCTTTTTGTGGCCTATCACTTTGGTTTAACACCATTCATCACTTTCTTGTGCCCGTAAAACTCTTCTCGGCCGGGCGCGGTGGCTCAAGCCTGTAATCCCAGCACTTTGGGAGGCCGAGACGGGCGGATCACAAGGTCAGGAGATCGAGACCATCCTGGCTAACCCGGTGAAACCCCGTCTCTACTAAAAAAATACAAAAAAATCAGCCGGGCGAGGTGGCGGGCGCCTGTAGTCCCAGCTACTCGGGAGGCTGAGGCAGGAGAATGGCGGGAACCTGGGAGGCGGAGCTTGCAGTGAGCTGAGATCGTGCCACTGCACTCCAGCCTGGGCCACAGAGCGCAGCCCCCGGTGTAAAAAAAAAAAAAAAAAAACCTCTTCTCATGATTTTTATTCCAATGCATGGATGTAGCACTTAAAATCCAGGCACTATTTCTGGACGTTTTTTCCACTTTTCCCTGTTGTCAGTGAGGTTGAGGTAAACTTCTCTGCATGTGAGTGTCGTCTACATCCTAGATTATTTCTTCAAGTTCGATTACAAGATGGGGACCACTGGGTCCCTGAAATGATCTTTTTGTGTGTGTGAGACACTGTTTTGCTTTGTCACTCTGGCTGGAGTCCAGTGGTGCAATCATGGCTCATTGCAACCTCAACCTCCTGAGCTCAAGCAGTCCTCCTGCCTCAGCCTCCCAAGTAGCTGAGACTATAGGCACACACCACCACCCTTGGCTAGTTTTTTTCCTTTTTGTTGACGTGGGGTCTTGCTATGTTGCCCAGGCTGGTCTCAAACTTTTGGCCTCAAGCCATTCTCCCACCTCAGCCTCCCAAAGTGCTGGGGTTACAGGCATGAGCCACTGCACCTGGCTGGGATGATTTTTCATCCTTGTTCATTCACTCATTCATTCCCTCTCTATGCTGCATATTTGCTTGCTGCAGGCCAAATCCAAGCCAGACTCTGAAGGGACAGCATGGGGTAAGGCAGGACCTGTCCTTGCCTGCCAAGGGCCTGTGTACTGCCTGGGCCTCTCTTAGCTAGTGGCAGAGCCCAGGGACATCTCCCCCATGTGCCACAGGCCAACCATTGTCTCTTATGTCCTCAGACTGACACATCTGACCCCGAGAAGGTGGTCTTTGCCTTCCTAAAGGTGTCATCTGTGTTCAAGGACGAAGCTACTGTGAGGACGGCAGTGCAGGATGCAGTAGGTAATGTGGTCTGGGTGAGGCCGGGGTGCCTGCTGGCCCTTGATGCTCGTGAGGCCCCGGTGCCCTTTGTGGTCGCCGTCACTCGTCAGCCCCAGTGCTGTCATAGGAACTGCTCTTTGAGACCCTGTGCTGCTCCTCCATCAGGGTCCTGCCATGGTCCTGCCGTGGAGCCAGCTGGGTGCTCGTCTCCCTGTTTTTCACCACTGAGAAACTGAGGCCTTTCTCAAATCCACATAGCCATATAGAGTTAGAACCCAGAGCCCACTCTAGGAAGGCCAGATAGTCACATCCGCAAGCCCGATGGACGCAGGTCTGTCGGGAGGAGGGATGCTGAGAGCTGAGCCCTTGTGCGTACCTCAGAGCCTCTGTGCTCATGTCCATTCTACCTGGAGCTTCCCTGCACAGGGGACACCTTTCCCTGTAACATTATGGGGCCTTCTCGGAGCACCAGCCCACGTCCCTCCTGCCCTATGGCAACCCTGTCCCCACCCTGTCTGTTTCCTCCATTCCAGCACCTGTCACCTTCCACCCTGTCTCCATGTGCTTGACTGAGGCAGAGGGGAGGAAGGGCCCTGAGGCAAGGGGCACAGCTCCTGGAAAAGGATAGAAAGGGGTGGAAGGACATGTGGTGCCTCTTCCTGGCCTCTACTGTGGGTGGCATTAAAGTGGGGAGGGCAGCTCAGTGGGAAGGGAGGCTTGGCAGGAGGTGGGGCCAGACACAAGCCTGCTCCCTGAGGGCCTGCCCGGGGGCATTTGTGGGAACAAGTTGCCCTAGTTCTGTTGCCCAGGAAGCCTAGCACAGTCCCCGCACATCCCCTCACCCCACCAAAATAACCTGAATCCTCCCCCAATGGTGGCCTGCCTCAGGAAATCTCCACTCCCACGGTGTGAGGTGGGCACAGTGGGTGTCATCCCCAGACCTATGTTCCACCTGAGGCCAGGATGGGGAAGGGCCAGAGTGTCACAGCTGGTAGATGGACTGAGCCCATCCCCTGATGCCAACTGCCCCTCCCTCTGGTTCCTGTGTCTCTGCCATCCCTCTTGTGTTCGCCTCTTCGTCAGGGCAAGGAGGCAGGCGAGCCTGTGTGTGCGCGGTGTGGGGGGAGCCTTGGGTGCCTTGGCACAGCGCCCTGCCGTAGCCAGCAGCCTGCCCCTGCTGCTTCTGCCCTACAGATGCCCTGATGAAGAAGGCTTTCAGCTCCTCGTCCTTCAACTCCAGCGCCTTCCTCACCAGGCTCCTCGCACACATGGGTCTACTCAAGGTGAGGCCAGAAGGAGCAGCAGGCCTGGGAGGGAGGTGGGCGGGGTCTGCACAGAAGCTGCCCCAGCCATGCCCACCAGCCTCCCTCACCTCGAGTCGCGAGCCGTCTCACCCACTGGGCCCCGAGGCCTGGGTCCGCCCCAGCAGCCTCGGTCTTCATGATGAGGTTCCGGCTGGACTCAGTTGTGAGCACCGCCCGCAGAGTCTGGATGGTGGAGTCCAGGGGCCGCCCAGGTGAACTTGACGCTCACCCCGCCTTTCGTTGTGTTCCCCTCACAGAGTGAAGATAAGGTCAAGGCCATTGCCAACCTGTACGGCCCCCTGATGGCACTGAACCACATGGTGCAGCAGGACTATTTCCCCAAGGCCCTTGCACCCCTGCTGCTGGCATTCATAACCAAGTGAGTGTGGCCCTGTTGTCCTTCTGCCGCGGCCTGTCCTCTCAGGCTTCTCTGGCCAGGTCCAAAGGCCTCCAGTCCCAGGAGGTCCAGCCCAACCAGCCTGCTGGCCCTGCTCGGGTGCACAAGAGGCCCTCATGCTTCCTGGGCTCTCAGCATCTGTGTTGGAGTCTCGCCACCCTCGGGAGGCCCGCTCCCCTCTGCCCAGCTGAGGACAGTGGGGCTCAGGGACAGTGAGAGAGGAGACATGTAACGCCCCCATTTTGCCGATGAGGAAAGGAGCACCGGGTTGGTTAAAGAGTTTCCCTTGGTCACACACTAGGAAGAGGCTGGGCCAGTGTCCAGACCCATGTCTGTGAGCAAGGTGCTATGTGTGGTGACATCTCTGGAGGGGCTTTTTGTCCATGCTCAAAGTAGTGCAGGCCGAAGGGGCCCGGTCACACTAGGCCCTGCAGCCCCAGGCCCTCTCCTGGGGACACAGATTGCCCCGGGAGCCGCCAAAATGCCCAGCAATGTAGGAACCTTGGCCTTGTTCTGGAGGGTCCTGGGGAGTCCTGGGGCATTGATGGGGTGATGGGCACAGTCAAATAACAGAGCCAAGGCCCCACCAGGGAGGGGGCGGGAGGCTTACCCCGTGCACCCTCACAGGGCCCTGTGAAGGCCAACCTGTGGCCTTCATCAGGCCTCAGTCTCCTCATTTGCCCAACCAGAGGGTTAGGTGAAATTGTCTCCAAGCGCCCTGACCAGCCACACTTCGAGTCAGTCGGCGCCATCCGGGGAAGTGGGGCAGGTAGAGGAGCAAGAAAGTCCCTTTGCTGGGGGAGCCCAGAGCCCACCGGCTGAGGCAGGATGCTTGGTGCATGTGGGGAAGCGGGGCTGGTGGAGTGTGAGCAGCCCTGTCCACCCCAGCGTCTGGAGTGTCTGTCTGCACGGCGCTGTCTCCTTAGCCAGGCCTTACCTTCTGGCCGTGTGCCCCCCACCCAGACCACTCCTTGGGCTGCAGCTGGACTGGCCTTGGTGAATGGCAGATCTCACTGTCCCCCTCCTCTGCCAGGGGCCAGGTCAAGCCTCACTGTGAATCTCGTGGCTGGCCACAGCCTCACCCTCACCCCACCCCACCCCACCCCAGCACACTGTGCGCCCCCGGAACCCCTTTCCACAGCAGTGCCATTGCTGTGGTGCCGAGCTTTGTCCATGCTATCCAGAGCTTGTTTGGCCAGTGGCCCCAGCCCCTGCCTGTACCTGCACCCAAGTCCTTTGTGTCCTTCCTACTCCCTGGTCCGAGTGGTTCCCTCTGCACCTCTGGCAGCCCCTGTGCTATCCTAAGCCTGGGCATGAGCCCCTTGGCCCTGTTAGAGCAGAATGCCTTTTCCCAGCTTGTTGCCCAACCTCCAGCACAGGCCTCAGTCTGCCCCCCAGGTCTTGTCCGAGATGACTGATTAACTCTGTAGTGACATGCACGGCCCCTCTTCCCTCAGCTCCCAGCCAAATTGTCTGGGATCCCAAGCCTGGCGCAGATCCTGGCCTGTTCATCAGCTACAGGCTGGAGGTGTTGTCAGGCCTGGTCCTGGCTGCGTCCCACACTTGCCCAGTCCCCCAGAGTCTTGCCTCAGTTTCTTTCTTTGCAGTGAAACTAATGATATTGAGGGCAACAATGGGGAGCTTAGGCGCAGTGGCTCCTATCTGTAATCCCAGCACTTTGAGAGGCTGAGGCAAGATCACTTGAGCCCAGGAGTTCAAGGCAAGCCTCGGCAACATTGGTGAAACCCCGACTCTACAAAAAATACAAAATTAGCCGGGTATGGTGGTGTGTATCTGTGGTCCCAGCTACTTGGGAGGCTGAGGCAGGAGGACCACCTGAGCCTGGGAAGTCGAGGATGCAGGGAGCCGTGATTCCAGGACTGTACTCCAGCCTGGGCAACAAAGAGAGACCCTGTCTCAAGAAAAAAACAACCAAAAAACAATGGCTAGCCATTTACTTATGACCCAGATTGGACTCTAGTGGGCCAGTCATGTGAGGCCACTGGCAGCCAGTGAGGATTCCCTGGCCTATGTCTGCTGGAAGGGCCCTTGAAGAGCCTGGCTGAGGTGGGGCTGTGTTGTGGCCAGCTCTGGGCTGTGTGGCCTTGGGTGCCTGCCTCTCACCCCTCCTACCCCCACCCACAACGTGCAGGGGCTAATGTCTCCCTTGCTGAGTCATTGTGCAAATTAACAAAAATCAGTCCAGTACCAAAATGGCCCCCACACTTGGAAAACGGGGGCCAAGAGGCATCCATCCCACCTGCTGACCCTTCTTTCCCCGCAGGCCCAACAGCGCCTTGGAATCCTGCTCCTTTGCCCGCCACAGTCTGCTGCAGACACTGTACAAGGTCTAGACTCAAAGCCTCTCCCATCCCTTGGCCTGGACCAGTGAGCTACGGAGGGACTCGGAGGAACTGAGGCACAACCCACGCCGTTGCCTTGGACAGGACTCTGGCCAGAGACAGGGCGGTCTGTGTCCCGTGTGTCCTCTCAGTCCCCTGAGTATGTGTGTAGGTGTGGTGCGCGTGCAGGTCTGTGCCTCCTGTCGGGATTTGGGTTTGAACCTCTCTCTGCTGGCCTGGCTCTGCTCTGTTGTGGGGAGTTGGCCCCCAGGGGAAAGGACTGTGAGCTGCTCCGCCATTAAACTCACCTTCACCTGATGGCGCTCTGCTGATCTCCGCCTGGGCCCTGATGGCTGTCCCCACCCACCTGCCTTCCAGCCCGGCTCCCTGGCGGAGCCAGAGCCCAAGGAGTTGCCCGCGTGCTGTCCTTCCCCTCTGTGTTGTGACTGGGCTGTTTCCTGCCCTGCCTGGGCTGCTGCTCGTCACCAAGCCCTGGTCCTGCAGCAGCTATCCTCCCTGCCATCCATGCCACTGTGCCGAGCGCTCAGCCTCAAGAGCAGAGAGTACCATGGGTGGGACTGTGGGGGTGGCATCGTGGGGCTGTTGGCAGATGGCAACCCTGGGCCCCATGCCGTGTGGACAGGCAGACACCAGATTGTCCAGGAGCAGGAGCTGCTGGAACTGCGCTGGCCCCGGACCTAGCGGACCCTCTCCTGGCTGCTGAGATGTTGTCTGTGACTGGCCTGGGGGCCAAGCTGGAGGCGGTGTGTTGACAACCCAAAGCTGTTGTCCAGTCTGGGGAGGGAGGGGCAGGGTCCCCAATGTCCGAGCCGTATCTGGACGCTGCTCTTAAAGGACCTCCTGGGGCAGGGGAGCAGTGGGGTCTGGACTGGGCAGATGCTGTACAACCTCCCTGCGTGCCCGTGACTGCCCCATGCTTTCCCCTTTGTGTTCTGTGTGTGTCTGGGCTGTGCCCGGGGGCTTCACAAATAAAGTCATGTGTACAGCTTCAGAGACTCAAACTCTGACCTAAAGCGGGATAGTCTCAGGGGCCATCATACGTGAAGTCCCACCTCGGCAGAGCACACGGCCCCACAGCAGTCTGTGAGGGCAGTCAGCCCTGCGAAGGGTCCGGCCTCGGCCTCAGGCCACCACCTGGGCAGTGGCAGTCCTGAATGAGGACCCATTTTCCTGCCTGGCCACACCTCACCCAGCACCCTGCCTTTGGGCTGCAGCTCTCTTGGCTCCTGCATTGCTCCTTCACTATGGCAGCCACCTCCCTTGGGGTCCTTTGCTCCACTGCCACATACGTGAGGGCAGCCCAGCCAACCTTCCTTACCTCCTGCCCTATGCCATGTGTGTGCTTGGGGAGCCCATGTCCCCCACAAATGGCCTCCAAGAAGAAGTCCCTTGGCCAGGCGTGGTGGCCCATACCTGTAATCCTAGCACTTTGGGAGGCTGAGGAGGGTGGATCACGAGGTCAGGAGATTGAGACCATCCTGGCTAACACGGTGAAACCCCGTCTCTACAAAAAAATATAACAAAAATTAGCCGGGCATGGTGGCGGGCGCCTGTAGTTCCAGCTACTCGGGAGGCTGAGGCAGGAGAATGGTGTAAACCTGGGAGGCAGAGCTTAGAGTGAGCTGAGATCGTGCCACTGTACTCTAGCCTGGGCGACAGAGCGAGACTCCATCTCAAAAAAAAAGAAGTCCCTCGAGGGTTTCTTAGGGGGCAATATTTTCTCATTGGCAGTCGACCACGTAGGCGACCAGGTGGCAGAGGGTAGTGCCGGCCCTGCCCCCGTCCTCTGTGTGAGTTGATAAGGTAGGGGGTGGGTGCAGGGCTGGTGTTAAGTTTTGATATATGTTACAACGTGGATGAACTTTGAAAACATTACGTTAAATGAAATAAGCCAGACACAACAGGACAAATACGATTGCATTTAGATGAGGCATCTAGAATAAGCATATTCAGAGACAAGAAGGTAGAGGTTGCCGGGCTAGGGGAAGGGTGGGATAGGGAGTGAGGCTGAGAACACATTCTCTAGGATGATGAAGATGTTCTGGAAATGGAGAGTGGTAATGGTTGCATAACATTGTGAATGTACTTAATGCCACTGAATTGTAGACATAAAAATGGTTAAAATGATAAATTGTATGTATTAATATATTTTACCTCAGTTAATTAAAAAAAATAAGCAAAATTATAGAGCTTCACCCGGGCGCGGTGGCTCACGCCTGTAATCCCAGCACTTTAGGAGGACAAGGCGGGCTGATCACTTGAGCCCAGGAGTTCAAGACTGGCCTGGCCAACATGGCAAAACCCCGTCTCTACTAAAAATACAAAAATGAGCCGGATGTGGTGATGCACGCCTGTAGTCTCAGCTACTTGGGAGTCTGAGGTGGGAGGATCACCTGAGCCCAAGAAGTCCAGGCTGCAGCAAGCCATGATTGTGCCACTGCACTCCAGCATGAGTGACAGAACGAGACCCTGTCTCAAAAAAGAGAGAGCTTGCCGGGCGCGGTGGCTCAAGCCTGTAATCCCAGCACTTTGGGAGGCCGAGACGGGTGGATCACGAGGTCAGGAGATCGAGACCATCCTGGCTAACACAGTGAAACCCCGTCTCTACTAAAAAATACAAAAAACTAGCCGGGCAAGGTGGCAGGTGCCTGTAGTCCCAGCTACTCGGGAGGCTGAGGCAGGAGAATGGCGTAAATCTGGGAGGCGGAGCTTGCAGTGAGCCGAGATCTGGCCACTGCACTCCAGCCTGGGCAACAGAGCGAGACTCCGCCTCAAAAAAAAAAAAAAAAGAGAGCTTGTAGGAGATAGTGTAGGTGAGTATCTTCAAGGCCTTAGGAGTAAGGAAAAGATTTTTGCCATTATTGTGGGATGTTCATACAATGGAAACGATGGAGCAGTGAGAACAGGTTTCTGTTTATCAAAATATTCATTAAGGAGTACAAAGGCAACTTACAGACAGGGAGAAAATAATTGCCCAAACTCACTCTGTATATATAAATGGGTGTGGGGGGGATAACTTTTTTTTTCAAACAGTATCTCATGTTGTCCAGCTTCTTCTATCTTGGCTCACTGCAGCCTGTATCTCCTGGGCTCAGGTGATCCTCCCACCCTAGCATCCCAAGTAGCTGGGACTATAGGCACACGCCACCACACCTGGCCAATGTTTTGTATTTTTAGTAGAGATGGGGTGTTGCCATATTGCCCAGGCTGGGAGAATTTCTATAAATAAAAGACAACGGGAAAAAGCAAAAAGCTCAAATGGGCACTTTACAAAAAGCATGTGAAAAGGTGCTTAATTTCATTAGTCTTAGAGAAACATAATCCCGGTGTGACACTCTTCTGCCCGCACTAGAATGGCTAAAATACAAACAACAGTACCAAGCTTGGTGAGGATTTGGGGCAGCTGGAGTGACTGGCGGATGTGTAAATTGGTACAACCTTTTTTTTTTTTTTTCTGAGACAGGGTCTTGCCATGTCACCCAGGCTGGAGTGCAGTGGTGCGATCACAGCTCACTACAGCCTCGACCTTCCAGGCTCACTCAATCTGCCTGCCTCAGCCTCCCAAGTAGCTGGGACCATGTCACAAGCCACCATCAGGCTGGTCTCGAACTCTTGGCTCAAGGCCTCCCGCCTCAGCTCACTTAACAGGCGTGAACCACCATGCCCAGTTACAGTGTTCTTTCTAATAAACTCATGCTGGAAACAACCCAAATGTCCATCACTAGAGGAGTGGGTAAACTACTTGTGGTACGGTGAGGTACCAGGAAGGCAGGAATGGTCTGCCCAAGAAGAAATACTTGAGCATTGACATTGTTTAGACTTGCCAGCACATGATAATAAAAAGCAGACCAACTTTGAGTCAGTTCCATTGTATCTCACTTCTCCACCGACACCACAGCACTTATTGCCTGCATTGTGGGCAGATCGCCTCCCACCCCTGCCCCATGCTACTGTTGTCATATATTTATAGAGTGGAAGGCTGGAATGCTGTATTTAAAAGAAAAAAAAATTTTTAATAGATGAAGCCAGGGCGGGCTCACAGCTGTAATCCTAGGACTTTGGGAGGCTGAGGCGGGTGGATCACTTGAGGTCAGGAATTTGTGACCTGCCTGGCCAATGTGGTAAGACCTGTCTGTACTAATAATACAAAAGTTAGCTGGGTGTGGTGGCAAGTGCCTGTAATCCCAGCCACTTGGGAGGCTGAAGCAGAATTGCTTGAACCTGGGAGGCAGAGGTTTCAGTGAGCCGAGATCACACCACTGTACTCCAGCCTGGGCAACAAGAGCTAGACTCCGTCTCAAAAAAAAAAAAAGAATCTAACATAATGTTGAGTGAAAAAAGCCAGACATAGCCAGGTACAGTGGCTCATGCCTGTTATCCCAACACTTTGGGAGGCTGAGGTGGGAGGATCACTTGTGCCCCGGAGTTCAAGATCAGCCTGGACAATACAGCAGGACCCCAACTCTACAACAAATTTTAACACTAGCTACAGGTGGCAGTGCGCATCTGGAGGTCCCAGCTGCTTGCGAGGCTGGTATGTTGAGGCCGCAGTGAGCCATGATCACACCTGGGCAACAGTGAGACCGTGTCTCAAAAAAAGGATGAAAGAGCAACACTGAAGTTCCATTGATTGGAATTTGCCAAGCAAAACAAAACACAAAGCAGATGTCTGTGTGGCATGGCACTATTTCTTTTTCAAAAATGTTACTGCAGGGCTGGGCGCAGTGACTCACGCCTGTAATCCCAGCACTTTGGGAGATCAAGGCGGGCAGATCACTTGAGGTCAGGAGTTTGGGACCAGCCTGACCAACATGGTGAAACCCCATCTTTACTAAAAATGCAAAAATTAGCCAGATGTGGTGGCACACAACTGTAATCCCAACTACTTGGGAGGCTGAGGCATGAGAATCATTTGAACCAGGGAGACGGAGGTTGCAGTGAGCGGAGATCACGCCACTGCACTCCAGCCTGGGTGATAAAATGAGACTCTCTCATAAAACAAACAACACCCGCAGTCTAGGAAAAGTACACACAGATGTTCATTGTATTACATACATAAATATCACACTCATTTATATTTTTATTATATATAAAAATATACACACATATATAAGTGTGTGCACACGCACGTGCACACACACACACACACACATATATATATATATATATATTTTTTTTTTTCTTTTCTCTTGAGACAGAGTTTGTGTTGCCCAGGCTGGTCTCAAACTCCTGGGCTCAGGTGATCCTCCCACCTCAGCCTCCCAAAGTGCTGGGATTACAGATGTGAGCCACTGTGCCTGGCCCCTGTTTCCAATTAAAGGAAACAAACAATAATGGAAGATACAATTCCATCAGAAACAGGAATCTGAAAAATCGTAAGATATTAAACATTGGCCATGGTCTGGATGTATTATTTAAAAAACAAACATGAGCCTGGGAAGATGCATATTTGGATATTCTTTGCAATATTGTTTGTAAATAGCAAAAAATTGGAGGTAGCCAGTGTCCAAGATGAATGGCTAAGTCAATGTGATACATTCACACAATGGAATACTATCCCACAGAATACATGAGATTCAGAAGAATCAATTTGGATAACTCCCAGTAATCTGAGGTGAAGTGAAAAGATTGAATGTCTAGAGTCCTGTATGCCCAGTATTAAACAATGTATGTAAATGCATAAGCACAAACAGATGGAAGGAAAGGGTCACCTGTTCTGGAGCACCCACTGTGTGCCAGGTGCGGGCCTGAACCCCCACTGTGACCTCAGAGCTACTTATTAATGGGATGTGTTTTTCAGAGACTAGGAAGCAGCCTCTGGGAGGGCAGCTCACATGACAGGAGGGAGCCCAGGACTGCTGACTCCCGGGCCACTGCTGGTGCACCCTCCCTGTCGGGCTGGCCCAAGGATTCCGGCCCGGGCCTCCATCCTGGACTGGGGCAGGCAGGGCGCCCTGTAACTCCAGCCGCTGCTCCCGCCCGCTGCCCGCCCCTCCTTCACCTCAGCCTGGGGAAGCCTGGCTTGCCTGGTCCGCCGACAATGCCTCCCATTCAGCCCTGTCCCAGCTGCCAGGCCTGCGGGCCGCGGAGGGGGGCTCCCACCAGGCGGGGACAGCCTTTGCCTGCGCTGTGCCTCCAGGCTGGACCAGCAGTTCCAGGCGGCATGGAGGGGTGAGTCTTTGGGCCCCATGGTGCAAGGGGGGGTTCAGAGCAGCTGAGCGGTCTCAGGTAAGTCTCTGCCCCTCTCTGGGCCTCTTGAGAGGCTGGCGGGCAGGGGCTCTGGGCCCTTCCTGGGGTTCTCCAGGAAGGGGGTCTCCCAAGGTGGGCTCTGAGACACATGTGGCAATGTGGCCGCTGCCGGGGCCTGGCCCTCCGGGGCTTGTCTGAGAGCCCAGCAGTGGTCCCTGTGTTCTGAATGCTTGTCGCTTCAGCGATCTGTCCCCATGGGTCCCCTCCCTGGCCTGCCCTGAAGCACAGCCTTCACCATAGGCTCTGGAGAAGCCCCCAGCTCCAAGGCAGGGACTGGAGCCTGGGACCCAAAGGAGACCCCAAAACACAACAATCCAGGGAGCAGCAAGAGGGAGGCTCCTGGGGGCTGGGGACCAGCCCAGCGATGGGGAGAGGCCATGCCTGCCACAGGCTGAGAACAGAGGGGCCAGCTGGGCAGGGGAGGTGAGCCTATCATCCTAGCGCTTTGGGAGGCCAAGGTGGGACAATCACTTGAGGCCAGGAATTCAAGACCAGCCTGGGCAACATAGTGAGACCCTGTCTCTACCAGAAATAAAAAATTAGCCAAATGTGGTAAGTGCCCATAGTCCCAGCTACTCAAGAGGCAGAGACGAGAGGGTCAGTTTAGCCCAGGAGGTGAAGGCTGCAGTGAGCCACAGTCATTCCACTGCACTCCAGACTCCAGCCTGGGCAACAGAGCAAGGCTTGTCTCTATTTAAACAAAACAAAGCAAAAAAATGCTCGAGGACCCAGACTGGATGCCTCCCTCCCTTCCGGTGGGCACCATTATGCTCCTGCTACCTGGGAGCTGGCATCATATCAGTCGGAGGACAGGCCGCTTCTGAGCCTTCCCTGGACCGGAGCCTCACCACAGCCTGAGTACATGCTCTGAACTGGAGTCATTCTCACAGTCAGCAAGTCCTCCCCGAGCCACTGGGCAGAGAGGCAAAGGGACTCCACCAGGTCACTTTTCTGACCATACACATTGGCCATGTTCTGGATGTATTATTTAAAAAACAAACATGAGCCTGGGAAGATGCGTATTTGGATATCATTTGCAATAGTGTTTGTAAATAGCAAAAAATTGGAGGTAGCCCATGTCCAAGCTGGATGGCTAAGTCAATGTGATACATTTACACATTTCTCCATTTCCTCCCATGTAAAACGGGACTAATCATAGGACCTCCACTGTGTGGGGGGTGGGGGCCGGGGGCAGGGAGGCTGAGGGTGATGGACACTTTCCTGGGCCCAGAGGAGGCGGCTCTGAGGGGTTTTCGGGGCAGGAGCTGCACTGTGGCTGGGACTAAGTGAGGGACAGCATGTGGCCTCAGCCGCTGTGCACAGCAGACTCTCCCTCCCCGTCCCAGGCCCCGGAGCTCCACCCATGTCTCCTTGGTGCTGCTGCTGCTTGTACTTCTGCTGCTGGGCCCAGCTAGGCAGGCCGCTGCGCAGCGATGCCCACAGGCCTGCATCTGTGACAACTCCAGACGGCACGTTGCCTGCCGGCACCAGAACCTCACTGAGGTGCCAGACGCCATCCCTGAGGTCAGCAGGGAAGGAGCATGGGCACAGAGTGGCAGTGGGGCAGGGTGGGGACCCAGAGGGAGGAGCCTCGGCTGGGCACCAGTTATCTGCCACTGCCTGCCCGGGAGACCTTGGCAAGTTACTTCTCTTTGCGCCTTAGTTTATAGGTCTGTAAAATGGGAATAATAAAAAGCAGTAACAGGGAGATGATCTATTTAAAATCCTTACTGTGTGAATGGAATAAGTAGGTGACCCATAGATCGATACTGAATTCACTGCAGATGCTGTGGCGGAGAGGTGAGGCTGTGGCAGGGTGAGGTGTGGTCTCTGCTCTGCGGAGTCATCAGTTAGTGGAGGAGAGACAGCAAGCAGGCAGGGACAGCACAGTGTGAAAAGTGCCACAGTGGGTGATGCTCAGGGAGGGCACTGGAGAGGAAGGCTTCCTGGAAGAGGTGTCAGGGGTCGGATGAAGAGAAATATGGGAAAGGTGACAGGAGAGAAGGGTGTTCCGGGGAAGGAGCAGCACTTGCAAAGGCGGGGTCCCTGCCTGGCTCAGCCCCACTTTCCCCTCGCCGTCCCCAGCTGACCCAGCGGCTGAACCTGCAGGGCAATTTGCTGAAAGTGATTCCCGCAGCCGCCTTCCAGGGCCTGCCTCACCTCACACACCTGGACCTGCGCCACTGCCAGGTGGAGCTGGTGGCCGAGGGCGCCTTCCGTGGCCTGGGCCGCCTGCTCCTGCTCAACCTGGCCTCCAACCACCTGCGTGAGCTGCCCCAGGAGGCGCTGGACGGGCTGGGCTCGCTGCGGCGGCTGGAGCTGGAGGCGAACGCACTGGAGGAGCTGCGGCCGGGGACGTTCGGGGCACTGGGTGCGCTGGCCACGCTTAACCTGGCCCACAACGCCCTGGTCTACCTGCCCGCCATGGCCTTCCAGGGGCTACTGCGCGTCCGCTGGCTGCGGCTGTCGCACAACGCGCTCAGCGTGCTGGCCCCCGAGGCCCTGGCTGGCCTGCCCGCCCTGCGACGGCTCAGCCTGCACCACAACGAGCTCCAGGCTCTGCCCGGCCCGGCCTTGTCCCAGGCCCGCGGCCTGGTCCGTCTGGAGCTGGGCCACAACCCGCTCACCTACGCGGGCGAGGAGGACGGGCTGGCGCTGCCCGGCCTGCAGGAGCTGCTGCTGGACGGCGGGGCCCTGCAGGCCCTGGGTGCCAGGGCCTTCGCGCACTGCCCACGCCTGCACACCCTTGACCTCCGCGGGAACCAGCTAGACACCCTGCCCCCGCTGCAGGGTCCGGGCCAGTTGCGCCGGCTGCGGCTGCAGGGGAATCCGCTGTGGTGCGGCTGCCAGGCGCGGCCCCTACTCGAGTGGCTGGCGCGGGCGCGCGTGCGCTCGGACGGCGCGTGCCGGGGGCCGCGGCGCCTGCGGGGCGAAGCTCTGGACGCCCTGCGGCCCTGGGACCTGCGCTGCCCTGGGGACGCGGCGCAGGAAGAGGAAGAGCAGGAGGAGCGGGCTGGGCCCGCGCCCCGCGCCCCTCCGCGCGACCCTCCGCGCGGCCCCGGGGAGGAGCGGGCAGTCGCGCCCTGCCCTCGCGCCTGCGTGTGCGCCCCCGAGTCCCGGCACAGCAGCTGCGAGGGCTGCGGCCTGCAGGCGGTGCCCCGCGGCTTCCCCAACGACACCCTGCTCCTGGACCTGAGGCGGAACCACTTCCCCTTGGTGCCCCGAGCGGCCTTCCCCGGCCTGGGCCACCTGGTGTCGCTGCACCTGCAGCACTGCGGCATCACGGAGCTGGAGGCGGGCGCCCTGGCGGGGCTGGGCCGCCTGATCTACCTGTACCTCTCGGACAACCAGCTCGCAGGCCTCAGCGCTGCTGCCCTTGCAGGGGTCCCCCGCCTCGGCTACCTGTACCTGGAGCGCAACCGTTTCCTGCAGGTGCCAGGGGCTGCCCTGCGCGCCCTGCCCAGCCTCTTCTCCCTGCACCTACAGGACAACGCTGTGGACCGCCTGGCACCTGGGGACCTGGGGGGAACACGGGCCTTGCGCTGGCTCTACCTGAGTGGAAACCGCATCACCGAAGTGCCCCCTGGGGCGCTGGGCCCAGCTCGGGAGCTGGAGAAGCTGCACCTGGACAGGAATCAGCTGCGAGAGGTGCCCACTGGCGCCTTGGAGGGGTTGCCTGCCCTCCTGGAGCTGCAGCTCTCGGGCAATCCACTCAGGGCCTTGCATGACGGGGCCTTCCAGCCTGTGGGCAGGTCGCTGCAGCACCTCTTCCTGAACAGCAGTGGCCTGGAGCAGGTGGGCACTGGGCATGCGGCGGGGTTGGTGCGGGAGGCGGCACAAGGCCACAGACAGCGTGCATTCGCTCAATAAGCATTTGCCAGCCCCTTGGTGCCAGGTCTCAGGCTGGGCACGGGGACCCTGAGATGCCAGTACTGCCTCTGCCGGTGTGAGTGACAGTCCAGGCACAACCCAGGCCACACACGGTGCCTGCACCGGAGGGCATTGCTGGAGCATAGAGGAAGGAGGAATTTGGGACCATGGGGTCATCTACTGTTTGTACATATTGAGAGCCCCCAAGAGGCTTTGCCATTATTGGGTGATGGGGTGGACCATGAACTGGGCACCTGGGTGACTTGGACAGAGCAAGTGCTTTGACATCGGACCAGCCTGGCCTTTGACCCGGCACCGCACTTCCTGTCTGGACCATCTTGGGCTCTCCAGCTTCTCTTCTGCTGAGGGAAGGTGGGGCTTCCTTCCAGACTTGGGGGTGGGACAGGTCTGCCAGGAGCTCACACTGGGGCCTGGCAACTCCTGCAGATTTCTCCTGGGGCCTTTTCAGGCCTGGGGCCCAGGCTCCAGAGCCTGCACCTGCAGAAGAACCAGCTTCGGGCCCTGCCTGCCCTACCCAGCCTCAGCCAGCTGGAGCTCATCGACCTCAGCAGCAATCCCTTCCACTGTGACTGCCAGCTGCTTCCGCTGCACAGGTGGGCACCCCCACCTAGACCTCCAGCCAGAGACCACCCAGCTGCTCTTGGTCAAGCCCCTGTCATCTCCCTGGGCACACTATGTCCATGCCCATCTGAGCAGCTTGAGGGGAGGGGCAGGTCCCAGGAGAGCCAGGCATGTATGAGCCCTTTCCAGGGTCAGTTACCCTTCCTGTGGAGGTTGGGGGTGGACTTCTCTGGGCCTTGATTTCATCATCCGTAAAGTAGGAATGGTATCTGCTCTGCCTAGCAGTCTGGGACCTAATACGCAGGCAAGGCCACTTTACATAATTACATAAGAAAGTCACAAGGCCGGGCGCGGTGGCTCAAGCCTGTAATCCCAGCACTTTGGGAGGCCGAGATAGGCAGATCACGAGGTCAGGAGATCAAGACCATCCTGGCTAACATGGTGAAACCCCGTCTCTACTAAAAAATACAAAAAATTAGCTGGGCGTGGTGGTGGGCGCCTGTAGTCCCAGCTACTCCGGAGGCTGAGGCAGGAGAATGGCGTAAACCCGGGAGGCGGAGCTTGCAGTGAGCTGAGATCCGGCCACTGTACTCCGGCCTGGGCGACAGAGCAAAAATCTGTCTCAAAAAAAAAAAAAAAAAAGTCAGTCACAAGAGGCCAGGGATGGTGGTTCACGCCTGTAATCCCAGCACTTTGGGAGGCCAAGGCGGGCGGATCACCTGAGGTCAGGAGTTTGAGACCAGCCTGGCTGACATGGTGAAACTCTGTCTCTACTAAAAATATGAAAATTAGCTGGGCGTGGTGGTGGGTGCCTGTAGTCCTGGCTACTTGGGAGGCTGAGGGAGGAGAATCGCTTGAACCTGGGAGGTAGAGGTTTCAGTGAGCCAAGATCGCGCTACTTCACTCCAGCCTGGGCTACAGAGTGAGACTCCATCTCAGAAAAATAAAAAAAGTCACAAGAGGCGTGGAGTCCTGCAGACCTGGGCTCCAGTCCTGGCTCTGCCATTTTACCAACTAACTCTTCAAGCCCCATAACCTTTCCTGCCCATCTGTAAAAAGGGGGGATGTAGTATCTAACCTCATGATGGTGGTTGTAAGAATGAAATTAGCATACATAAGTTGATTTGTACGGTGTCTGCTATGTTGTAAGCCCTCTAACTGTTTATTATTACTATTATTTTCCCCTTTTTACAAAGAAGGGGTCGGAGGCTTGAAGTGGCTTGCAGGTCACATAATTGGTGAGCCGCCAAGATTCTCAGCAGAGCCTGCTGTCACGTATAGGCTCCACTGCTCCCAAATTCCTGGTGGCCTCCTTGACCTCCTCAGTAAAGCTGACAAATGCTTGTTGAGCGAATGCACGCTGCCTGTGGCCTTGTGCTGCCTTCTGCACCAACCCTGCCCCACACCCAGTGCCCACCTGGCTCCAGACCACTGGAGCAAAGTCAGCACAGCCAGCTCCCCGGCTCTCTCTTCTCTTCAGGTGGCTCACTGGGCTGAACCTGCGGGTGGGGGCCACCTGCGCCACCCCTCCCAGTGCCCGTGGCCAGAGGGTGAAGGCTGCAGCTGCTGTCTTTGACGCCTGCCTGGGCTGGGGTGCCAGGAAGGCCAAGCGGACACCAGCCTCCAGGCCCAGCACCAGGAAAACCTCCATCAAAGGAAGACAGCGTGGAGCAGATAAGGTTGGCCATGGGGCAGGAGGGGTGAGATCTTGGTGGGTGTTGGGCCAGGTTCCAAAGTCACCAGGAAGCAGAAGCCTGACTTGGCTTGGTCCTGATTCATGTGGTTCCAGACCTGGGCAATGACCCGGTTGTGTCAGTTCAATAATGTCCATCCGAGGCCAGGCATGGTGGCTCACGCCTGCAATCCTAGCACTTTGGGAGACCGAGGTGGACAGATCACGAGGTCAAGAGGTCGAGACCATCTTGGCCAACATGGTGAAACCCCATCTCTACTAAAAAATACAAAAATTAGCCGGGTGTGGTGGTGCGTGCCTGTAATCCCAGCTACTTGGGAGGCTGAGGCAGGAGAATCGCTTGAACCCGGGAGACAGAGATTGCAGTGAGCGGAGATCATGCCAGTGCACTCCAGCCTGGGGACAGAGTGAGACTCCATCTTAATAATAATAATAATAATAATAATAATGTCCATCGTCCCATTCTCCCCTTCTCCCTGATCCCACTTCTGGGCTAGATCCAGGATGGGTTTGCAAGGAAACGGCCATTTGCTCCTGTTGTGAGACAGTGGCCTTTCCTATAAGCCACAGTGTGGTGGTCCAGATGTATCCCTAAAATCAGTCCTGCTGTTTCCATATTTGCTGGATCACTGTTAACCATGTCCCAGTCTGACCTAAGGGGCCTCCTTCATTCCAGGATCCCAGGGATGGGAAGAGCGGAAGTGCAGGTGCATCATTGGCTCTGCCTCCCACCACCTGTCAGCTATAGGTTGGACCCCACTTGATATTACATTCACCATCCTGACATATCCAGTCCCAATGTGGCCCCTCAGTTGTGGCAAACTCACAGCATATCGGAGAAGGGTGCAAAAGATACGGGCACCCCCGCATGTGGGAACCAGTGCCTGTAAGACCATGGGGGTGTGCAAAGGGGAGAGGCAGTCCTTCGAGGGAAGGAGAATAGAGTGAGGCCTGGGAAGGTGGGGAGAGGGCTCTGTCTCCCCTGGACCTGCATTTTGAACATCTGGGATTCCTGGGGCCATTAGCTGGTGTTCGTATTCATCCCCTACAACTGCCACAACAAAACGCTAGGAGCTGGGTGGCTTAGAACAGCAGAGCTTCTGTGGGCTAGGGGTCAGCCGTCGAGGTGTTGGCAGGGGCGTGCTCTCTGGAACAGGTAGTGGAAGGGTCCCCCCTTGCCTATTCCAGCTTCTGGTGGCCCCAGATGCCCCTGACCTGTGGTAGCATAATCCCCATCTCTGTCTCCACCTTCACGTGATGTTGTGTGTCATCATCTTCCCTCTATAATCTGTCTCTGCCCAGATTCCTCACCCCCCGCTTTTTTTTTTTTTCTGAGATGGAGTTTCGCTCTTCTTGCCCAGGCTGGATGGAATGCAATGGCAGTCTCGGCTCACTGCAACCTCTACCTCCTGGGTTCAAGCAATTCTCCTGCCTCAGCCTCCCAAGTAGCTGGGATTACAGGCACGTGCCACCACACCCGGCTAACTTTTGTATTTTTAGTAGAAAAGGGGTTTTACCATGTTGGTCAGGCTGGTCTCGAACTCCTGACCTCAGTTGATCCACCTGCCTCAGCCTCTCAAAGTGCTGGGTGTGAGCCACTGTGCCCAGCCAAATTTCCCTTTTTATAAGGATAACAGTCTATTAGATTAGGGCCCAACCTAATGACATCATTTTAATTTCACTACTTCTGTAAGGAATCTATTTCCAAGTAAGGTCATACTCTGAGGTACTGGGGTTAGGGCTCCAGCCTTTTGGGATGGGCACAAGTCAGTCCATAAAGTGTTCCTGATTTCTGGCTGGGACACGGGAAGGAACCCCTGAAAAGACCCCAAGCTGAAGGTGAGCAAGTTCTGCCTTAGAAGCCAGACCCGGAACTAGAATTAATGACAGCAGTACTAATCTCAGTTGGCAGTCACGTGCACAAGTACGGAACGGCAGCGGTGCTTTCTCCCTGCGTCAGCCCCGGAGGCTCGTGTAGAAGCTGAGCTGGGCTCAGGAGTGGAAGCTCCGATGAGTCCACTTCCAGGTCAGGGCTTTAGTTAAAACGGGAAGACACCCCCGGTCCCCACCCCCACACACAGTATGGAAGCTTTGGAATCGGGAACTCTCAGGCTGTTTGATCTAGCCACCCCTTCTGACATGGAAATACTCCTCTCAGTATTGTGGGTTATTTTGATGAAAGCAGCAGTTTCCGGCTGGGTGCAGTGAGTGGCTCATGCCTGTAATCCCAGCACTTTGGGAGGCCCAGGCAGGTGGGTCACCTGAGGTCGGGAGTTCGAGACCAGCCTGACCAACATGGAGAAACCCCATCTCTACTAAAAATACAAAATTAGCCAGGCATGGTGGTGCATGCCTGTAATCCCAGCTACTCGGGACGCTGAGGCAGGAGAATCGCTTGAACCCAGGAGGTGGATATATCTTGGCGGTGAGCAGAGATTGTGCCATTGCACTCCAGCCTGGGCAATAGAGCTTTTTTAAAAAAAAAAAAAAAAAAAAAAAAAGTTAAACCAGTCCAGACATGGGGGTTCATGCCTATAATCCCAGCACTCTGGGAGACCAAGGTGGGCGGATCACCTGAGGTCAGGAGTTTGAGACCAGCCTGGCTAACAATGGTGAAACCCCGTTTCTACTAAAAATACAAAAGATTAGCCGGGCATGGTGGTGCGTGCCTGTAACCCCACTCGGGAGGCTGAGACAGGAGAATCGCTTGAACCTGGGAAGCGGAGGTTATTTTGCAGTGAGCCTAGGTTCTTCCCTCCCCCCCCAGGGTCAAAAAAAATAAAACTCCGCCTCCTCAAAAAAAAAAAAAAAAAAAAGTAGCAGTTTCTTCCCAGGAGTACAAAGGAATTCAAGGCAGAGGGCTCTTAGGTTGAGGCTCAGGCGCTGGCAGTGTTCCAGGCTGGAGATGCTTGCCTGCTGAGGGAACGAGGATGGATGTCTGCCAGTCTCCCTTGATGCCTGTGTCTAGCTTGGTGTCTGGCACCCGGAAGATGCTCGAGAAGCCTGAATGACTGACTCACTACTAGGTCATCCGGCAGACAAACCTGGGTTCAACCCCACTGCCGTCCTTAACAGGTGTGAATTTAAGCAGCCAAGTTACTACACCGTACTGAGACTTCCTTTTTCCCATCAGTACCACACAGGGCTACTGTGAAGGTAAAATGAGCCATTTAGATACCTACTTAATCTGGCACCTGGGTAGGGGCTCTTGGTACGATGGAATTCCTTGCATCCCTTTCCCTGGAGCAGAGGGGCTAGACTGGGTGACCATAAAGGACGAGGCGGGCAGGGCAGGTTCCTGAAGGGTCTGGATTTGGTCTCACCTGTACCAGGAGCCTCTGTGGGTCCTCAGGCCGGAGAAGCAGGGATGAGGGGTTTGCAAATGCCTCCCTGCCAGCAGCCCCACTGCTGGGACTCTTTAAGAACTTGAATTCCCTCCAAGGGCAAACTGAGGCACAAGGTTTCCCAAGAGATCAATACTTCCATCTCCGGCAAATCAAGTTGGCCTCTAGGCACCAGCCACACACGGTCATGTGCACACTCCCCATTTCACACACACACAAGGCCACCTTTGTGCTAGCCTATGCCAGGAACTACAGACAGGCAGACACAGGCTCCATCGCTGGGGAACCCACGGTCTTTGGGGAGAATGGCACAACTGTAAATAATGACAACATGCGGCTAAGACAGGGAACTCAGGCTCATGAGAGGCAACATTTATTCTTTACAGCCTCGCACACTTGTGTCTTGACTCACGTGGCCTCATAATCGATACCATGAGGTGGGGGGTCAGAACACACTCTGCAAGGAACAGAGATCTAACAAACCAGACTCAAGCAAGTAGGGGATTTAATTTCTCATACACAGTCTGGGGAGCCCAGTGAGGCTGCAATGGCAACTAGATATGTCCTCCAGCTCTGTCATCCTTGTCCTGAGGGTTCTGTGTTCACAGCCCCTCCAGGCATGGCTTCTTCATTCAGGTAGGAACAAAAGGTCAAAACAGCAAAGCCCAGCTCTCCAGAGGCTCCAGTCGGAACTGGACCCTTTAACTACAAAGGAATCTTGGATGAGTTACTTTTAGCAGGGCTTCAGAAGCAGGTAGCAGAGCCAGAGTGCACACTCAGGCCATCTTCCTCCCAGTGTCCTCGCCGCGGCATTTCCTTTAGGAAATGGCGGCAGTCCTCACAAACACAGAAAGCAGCTCAAAGCCACCACACAGGTCACCAAAATCCATATCCTGGTCACTGCTTCTCAGCTGCCAAGCCAAGCTGGGTCCCCAACATTCCTGGGGAGCTAGGAGGAGCAGAGGACCAGCACGTGACATCCCTGGGGAGCTAGGAGGAGCAGAGGACCAGCACATGACATCCCTGGGGAGCTAGGAGGAGCAGAGGACCAGCACATGAGGCTGAGTGGCATTCTACAAAGTGAATTTTTGAGGCAGAGGCTGCCCCCATCACACAACTCCCTGTCAGAGGACCTCATCCTGCTCAGAAAGCTGCTCTAGAATTTAATTTACATGACTCGTTGGGACAGACAGAGTTCACTGTCTTGTCTTCCACAGTGTGACAGGGGTGGCCCCACCCCTGGCAACTGAGGGCTGTGGCAGGTCCTGGGGAGGCCATCTTAAGGAAGAGCAGGCAGCTAGCGTTCCAGCTTTGGGAACTCTGGCTGGAGAAGGTGGTTCACAGATGAGTTCGGGGGCCTCAGGCAGCCCGTCACATAGGCCTTTCTACAGGGGAGGGTAGAGGCAACAGGCAGGTCCCAGGAGACCCCAGCAGGACCTCCACCGTCCAGCCTTCACGGCACCAGGCAGAATTTACACATAGGCTCAGTCTCCAAGCCAAAGTGAGGTGGAGGCATGGTGGCGGTGGTAGAGAAACCCCGGGCTGGCTTCCAGCTAGGAGCCAGGCTGGAGGCAGGAAGGCTCAGTCGTCCATTTCCTCCTTGATGTTCTCAACGGGGACAGGCAGCTCTGGACTTGAAGCCTTGTGGGGCGAGGCCGCGTCTAGATGCTCCTCCTTCACACGCACAGCAATGACTGAAGAGGCAGGGGAGGCGGGTGGGTGGGCGAGTAAATAACTCCAGGAGGGGTGGGGGCAGACGGAGGAGTTAGGAAAGGGACCTGGCTCCCTACAGATGGGGGCCTAGGATGCACCTTCACCCTCCATCTTCCCTTCTGGGAGGGCAGTGGCAGCAGCAAAAGGCCAAGGCCCCAACCCAGGTAGGCTATGCCAGCGACACTGCCATGTGCCAATCTGTCACCACCCTGCCAAGCACTAGAGGTAGGGGTAGAGATGGAGGAGGAGGAGGAGGGGCCGGGGCCTGGCTAGAGGGGGACTCGGCTCCGTTCACAGTTCGGGGGGTGTCTGGGAAACACTCTGGGTCCAGTGGTACAGGACTGCTTGGTGCCCAGAAAATGCCGAAGAAACCTGACTCTACTCTTCTGTGCCCAGGTGGGGAAGGAGAGGGGTCGTCTCTGAGCACGGAGCAGGCTGGTCCTGCCTCGACCCAGCCCGGTGGCTCTTACTCTCGCCAGGAACGGGCTCCGACGAGATCTTCTTGGCGCCCTGAGGGTCGTCCTCCAGCAGGGGCTTCTTGGACCCCTGTCTGAGGGGTCGTGTCTTGGTGGGCGGGATTCTTTTCCCTTTGAATAAAAATGGATTCAAACTCAGCATTAGGGTTGTATTTAGGTGAGGCTTTACGGATGCGGTCTCACCCAGCGGTCAGGCAGCGCAGCAGAGGGAAAAGTGCCAGCCTGGGGACAGAAAGCCTGGACTCCAAGTCTGACACCTCTTATTGGCTGCGTGCCCTGAGCTCAGATTCTCTCCAATGGGAAGTAATACCACCACCTCCCTTAAACCAAGCCCCAGGCAGTCATGGTTGTAGCTGCTTTTAAAATCTTCTTTTAAATAAATAAAAATTTTTTGAAGAGGGTCTCACTCTGTCACCCAGGCTGGAGTGCAGTGGGCTGATCACAGCTCACTGCAGCCTCAACCTCCCAGGCTCAGGTGATCCTCCTAACTTAGCCTCCTGAGTAGCTGGGACTACAGGCATGTGCCACCATACCCAGCTAAATTTTTCTAATTAGGGGTCTCACTATGTTGCCCCGGCTGGTCTCAAACTCCTGGGTTCAAGGGATCCTCCCACCTCAGCCTCTCAAAGTGTTAGGATTACAGGTGTGAACCATCTCAACTGGCCCGTTTTTGATCGTTGATTTCTTCCTGCAACATGCACCATTCCCAGTCCTACTGTTTGAATGGTACAGAACCTCTACCTACTAGATAAATGCCACACCCTCACTCAATTTTTTTGTTTTTTTGAGACAGTCTTGCTCTGTTGCCCAGGCTGGAGTGCAGTGGCTCAATCTCAGCTCACTGCAACCTCCACCTCCCTGGTTCAAGCAATTCTCCTGCCTCAGCCTCCCAAGTAGCTGGGATTACAGGCATGTGCCAGTGTGCCCGGCTAATTTTTATATTTTTAGTAGAGACGGTGTTTCACCATGTTGGTCAGGCTGGTCTCGAACTCCTGACCTCGTGATCTGCCCACCTCGGCCTCCCAAAGCGATGGCATGACAATTTTTTGTGTGTGTGCGATGGAGTTTCCCTTTTCCACCCAGGCTACAGTGCAGTGGCATGATCTGGGCTCACTGCCACCTCTGCCCTCGGGTTCAAGTGATTCTCCTGCCTCAGCCTCCCAAGTAGCTGGGATTACAGGCGCCTGCCACCATACCTGGCTAATTTTTGTATTTTTAGTAGAGACGAGGATTCACCATGTTGGTCAGGCTGGTCTTGGAACTTCTGACCTCATGATCCGCCTGCCTCAGCCTCCCAAAGTATTAGGATTACAGGCGTGAGCCACTGTGCCCAGCTGCCTCACTCAATCTTAATCCTGCCCCAGGGACCTCGTTCCTGTTTCAGAATATCCTCTTCCCCACATGGTACCACACCGTGGAGCCCACCTCAGTGTCACAGGCCTGCGGCTCTGAAGGATGGCTTTGCCCCGTCCTGCTCTGCCCCTCAAGTAGAAGCCAAGCTGGGGTCAGAATCCATAGAGTGAGGCCCCACCAAGGCAAACGACACCCCACAGCCCGAGTGCCAAGTGGAGTCCCGCCACTCAGCTGCCTGCCTTTGCTCCTGCTCTCTCCCACCCTCAAAGAGGTCTCGAGGTAAGAATGAGAGCCTTGGAGAGACAGCTTCTATTTCTTCCTGCAGCTCTTAGAACCTAGCAGCGGCGGCTTGCCCAGGCCAGGGTTTTTTTCTGAACGTGGGCATCAGGGATGGGATCCCCCAACTTCAATCTCTTACCTCTTTTCCTCAGCACCCTGACCATGGCCAGAGACTGAACACTCCCTATTTATGGTCTGGGTCCCCAGAGACAGGATGAAAGGCCCGTAGGCCAAAGAGCAAGGGAAAAGCGACAGGACAGGACCACGAGGAGAGTTGTGCCAGTAGGACAGCACCTGGGAACCTCTGCCTGGGGGCTGACCCCGCCTGCTCCCAGGGGCGCAGCCCACTGCTCCCGGGCCCACGCCAGCCTGGCTGCACTGGGGCAGTACTTACTTTTCTTCCCAAACTGTTTCTTTTTCTTCTTTGTGGCCTCTTTGGCCTTCAGCGGTGTGGCCGGTTCTGTTGTTGAAAGACAAGGGTGAAAGAGATGAGACGAGGGTCCCTGGGAGGACACAGGGCACAGGTGCATCCCGAGACCCCGTCCACCCTCCCACACAGGACACCCCAAGATAGAAGGCCAAAGCTCGGCAATTAGGAGGCGGGGGGCTGGAGAACAGCTGTCCCTTCTTCCCACCCTTGTCACCAGGGCTGCTCAGAGGGACCTGGGTAGTTTACCTGGGTGCACAAGGGCAAGAACATATGACAGAGTGGGCAAGATGAAGGAAGGAGCTCTGCAGGCCAGAGAGGAAGGCAGCCAGAGGAGCAGGGGCTGGGTGACGGGGCTCACTCTCTACTTACAGTGGTCCATGAGATGTCTCCATCTCATGCCAAAGAACTGAGATGGGCACAGGGGTGGGGGAAGAAGGAGAAAAGAAGAGGAAAGTCGGAGTCTCTTAGGGTCATGAGAGCCCAGACCTGCGGCCACAGGAGGCTGGAGCTGGTAGCCGGTGAGCTCACACCAGCCGACGGGGTAGATGTCCGGGGACTCGCAGTCCACCCACTGGTCGTACTCGCTGTCCCAGCCATCAAAGTGGATGCTGAGGAGCCGATGCACCACTCGCTTCACCGTGGCCACACAGATGAGCCGGGGCTCCATCAGGTCCACGGCCTCCAGCTTCATGCCCACCTTGAAGCCATGGTTTGGGCAATCCTGGGGCAGAAAAAGGAGGCAGTGGCCAAGCCAGTCAGCTCCCTACCCCAGCAGGCTCGCCCGGGCCTGGAGGCACTTGAAGAACTGGCAGGGAGGAGGCTGGGACTGGAATGCCTGCTGGGGCAAGTTCCTCTAGACAATAATCCCACTGCACCTCTTTCTCCACACCGCCCTCCATGGAAGAGGGACTGGAGTGCCCAGGCCAGAGCTGGGGACTTCCCCCCAAAAGTGGCTGGTGTCAGCAGCAGAGACTCGAGAGAAAGGGGAGGAACTGCCACCGCTGAGAGCAGCAGGCAGGGCCTGTCCTGAGGCCCCCGCAGGCCCCTTGCTCCACTTGAGTCTCCTCACCATGTTAAAGAGTCTCGATGGGGCGGCTTTCGACTTGGTCTTCTCCAAGTAGTTCTCCCAGCTGAAAGTCTGTACCTCATAACCTGGAGGAGCAGACAGCTCAGATGCAGAGGGAGAGGGGAAGCAGGAAGTGGGCAGGGGGAAAGGACACATGGCTGAAGGAGCTCTGCAGCTTGCTCAGGACCCAGCCTGGAGTCTCCCCAGCAGCCTTCTCAACCCCTCAGGGTGGCACCTGCTCTAGCACCTGTTATACAACCTATCCTGTTGTATAGGTTGTTTGCTGACCAACGGGAGACATGGGAGCTCTGTTCATCAACCATACACTGGCCACGGGGCAGGGTCAGCCCAGCAGTTAAGGGCTGGTGGCGGGCTCTGTCACCTTTCCCATACACCCTGAAATGCTACACTTTGGGGCCTGACTTGACCAGGAATCTGGACTTGTGGCCCCACCCTGCCCCTTCTGTTTTGTTTTGTTTTTAAAACAGAGTCTCGCTCTGTCACCTAGGCTGGAGTGCAGTGGTATGATCTTGACTCACTGCAACCTCCACCTCCTGGGTTCAAGCAATTCTCTTGCCTCAACCTCCCTAGTGGCTGGGATTACAGGCACCTGCCACTATGCCTGGCTAATTTTTGTATTTTTAGTAGAGATGAGGTTTTGCCATGTTCGCCAGGCTGGTCTCAAACTCCTGACCTCAGGTCATCCACCTGCCTCAGCCTCCCAAAGTCCTGGGATTACAGGCAGGAGCCACCGCGCCTGGACACCCTGCCCCTTCTGATGCAAGGCCAGCACGTGGTGGCCTCTCTAGTCTTACCTTTTGGGGGTGTGAGCTCAATGTCATTCTTCTGACAGAAGGTGGCTGGGAAGATGGCATGGGAAGAGGCATGGTAGCAGAACCAGTCTGAGCCATCTGTGGAGGGCCCCCCATCCACACAGATCATCAGGTATCCATCCAGGAGAACCTGGGGGGTGGGGGGAGCAGGCAGACAGATCATATCATGAACTGCACCCCATCCTGGGTTGGCACCACACCCCAACAGGGACACGAGGCAGATGGATCCAAACAGATCTAGGGCACGGCCCTCCTGGAGGACACCTGAGCCTCTCTGGGGCACACAGCACTTCTGTGATGCGTCCACGTGGGATTCTTTCTCTTCCCCACTAGACAGCAAACACCACGCCAGCAGGGGCCGCGTCCATCCTGTTGGACCGTGTTCTCAGGTGAGCACACGCGCCTGGCCTGGAGCGGATCTGCGGCGTGGACAAGTCAGCAGCCTCCTCCAGGAGGGCCATGCAGGGGTGGGGGGTGCTGCTCAGGCTGAGGCGATGAGGAGGTTTGGAGCAAGGTGACCCCCGCTGTGGCTCTTGCCTAGGCCAGCACTCAAAGGAGATGGCACACAGCAAGAAGGCCCCAGGGAGGTGACAGGGAGGGGCCCACCCTGACACAGGACCCGGCTCAGGTGTTGAAGAAGCCCTCGTCCAGTGAGCCTTGGACCCTGACATGAAAGCAGATTCTGAGCAAGGGGCAGGCCAGGCCCCACCCACAAAAGTCAGGGACTCTGGGCACAGCCAGTGATGAGAGGCTGTGCCAGAGACCCCCTGACAGTGGCGAGTGGAGTTAGAGCTCTGGGCCACATGGGTCCCCTCGTGGGGGCCGGAGGCCGGCCCTGGCTCACCTTACAGACAGTTGCCACGCAGATGTTGCCCAGATTCAGGGGGTCAATGGCCTCCAGCTTCATCCCTTCCTCAAACCAACCGCCTTCTGTGTAGACGGCTCGTACCTTAAAGGAATGGGACAGCTGGGGACTCCCTGGGCAGGCCAGGGGGAAAGGTAAGGGAAGCAGGCCTCAGGAGGGAAAGGGACAGTCCCAGGGAAGAGCCAGGTCCCTCAGGCCCGGAATGGACCCTTGGCCGAGGGGAAAAGTGCCCAAGGGCTGAGTCTCACCTTCTTGAACAGGTAAGGAACGGCATCACAGTAGATTTTCCGGAAGGTGGGGTGATGGGCCATGTCA